TTGCATCTATTTGATTATTCTCTCTTTTATTAATCTGACTAGTGGTCTATTTGTTGATCTTTTCAAAAAAACAGCTCCTGGATTTATTGATTTTTTTGAAGGGTTTTTTTGTGTCTCTATCTCTTTCAGTTGTGCTCTGATCTTAGTTATTTCTTGTCTTCTGCTTGGTTTTGAGTTTTTTGTTTTTTTTTATCTTGCTCCTCCACCTCTTTCAATTTTGATTATAGGGTGTCAATTTTAGATCTTTCCTTACTTCTCATGTGGGCATTTATTGCTATATATTTTCCTCTAGAGACTGCTTTAAATATGTCCCAGAGATTCTTGTATGTTTTGTCTTCATTCTCATTGGTTTTGAAGAATATCTTTATTTCTGCCTTCATTTCATTGTGTATCAGGTCAACATTTGAGAGCCAGTTGTTCAGTTTCCATGAAGCTGTGCAGTTCTGAGTTAGTTTCTGAATTTTCCGTTCTAACTTGATTGCCCTGTGGTCTGAGAGACTGTTTGTTATGATTTCCATTCTGTTGCATTTGCTCAGGAGTGATTTACTTCTGAATACATGGTCAATTTTAGAGTAGGTGTGATGTGGTGCTGTGAAGAATGTATATTCTGTGGATTTGGGGTAGAGTTCTGTAAATGTCTATTAGGTTTGCTTGGTCCAAGTCTGAGTTCAAGTCCTGGATATCCTTGTTAATTTTCTGTCTTGTTGATGTCTAATATTGACAGTGGAGTGGTAAAGTCTCCCACTATTATTATGTGGGAGTCTAAGTCTCTTTGTAAGTCATTAAGAACTTGCTTTATGTATCTGTATTGGGTGCATATATATTTAGGATAGTTAGCTCTTCCTGTTGGATTGATCCTTTTACCATTATGTAATGTTCTTCTTTGTCTCTTTTGATCTTTGTTGGTTTGAAATCCATTTTATCAGAAACTAGGATTGCAATGCCTGCTTTTTTTTGTTCTCCGTTTGCTTAGTAAATCTTCCTCCATCCCTTTATTTTGAGTCTATGTGTGTCTTTGTGAGATGAGTTTCCTGAATACAGCTTACCGATGGGTTCTGAATTTTTATCCAGTTTGCCAGTCTGTGTCTTTTGATTGGGGCGTTTAGGCCATTTACATTCAACGTTAATATTGTTAGGTGTGAATTTGATGCTGCCATTTTGTTACTGGCTGGTTTTCTTTCCCATTAGTTGATTCATTTTCTTCATTGCATTTTTGGTCTTTGCCAACTGGTTTCCTCTTGCAGTGTCTGGTACTTCTTCCTTTCCATGCGTAGTGTTTCTTTCAGGAGCTCTTGTAGGGCAGGTCTAGTGGTGACAAAATCTCTCAATAATTGCTTGTCCACAAAGGGTTTTATTTCTCCTTCACTTACGAAGCTTAGTTTGGATGGATATGAGATTCTGGGTTGAAAGTTCTTTTCTTTAAGGATGTTGAATATTGGCCCCCACTTCCTTCTGGCTTGTAGGGTTTCTGCCAAGAGATCTGCTTTGAGTCTGATTGGCTTCCCTTTGTGAGTGACCTGACCTTTCTCTCTGGCTGCCCTTAGCATTTTTTCCTTCATTTTAACCCTGGTCAATCTGACCATTATGTGCCTTGGGGTTGCTCTTCTTGAGGAATATTTTTGTGGAGTTCTCTGTATTTCTTGAATTTGAAATTTGGACTACCTTGCTAGGCTTGGGAAGTTCTCCTGGATAATATCCTGGAGCGTGTTTTCCAGCCTGGATTCATTCTCCCCATCATATTTAGGTACACTGATCAAGCATAGATTAGGTCTTTTCCCATAATTCCATGTTTCTTGGAGGCTTTGTTCATTTTTTTTCAATCTTTTTTCTCTTGTCTTGCCTTCTCTTTTTATTTCATTGAGTTGATCTTCAATCTCTGATATCCTTTCTTCTGCTTGATCTATTTGGCTATTAAAACTTGTGCTTGCTTCACGGAGTTCTAATGCTGTTTTTCAACTCCATCAAGTTGTTTATGTTCTTCTCTAAGCTGGTTATTCTAGTTAGCATTTCGTCTAACCTTTTTTCAAGGTTTTTGGTTTCTTTGCATTGAGTTAGAACGTGTTCCTTTAGCTCTGAAATGTTTGTTATTATCCACCTTCTGAAGCCTGTTTCTGTCAATTTGTTGCACTCCTTCTCAGTCATGATGTGATCCTGTGTTGTTCAGGAGTTGTGATCCCTTGAAGGAGAAGGGGTATTCTGGTATTTGATGGTTTCATCTTTTTTGTGCTTTTTTTCCCCATCTTTGTGGATTCATCTGGCTGTGATGTCAAGGAGCTGCTTGTTGAGGTCACTTGTCTGCCTGTGGAGGTGCTACTGGGTTTCTAGGGACTCCTTCAGGTTACTAGGGAAGCTTCCTTTGTCTTTTTTGTTTATACTGGGAGATTAGGCCCGCCTCTTCTGCTGACCAGTAGGCTCTGCTGGGTTGTCAGGAATGACATTCCATTGCTAGGTAGGCTTCCTGTGTTTTTTGTTAAAACATGTAGCCCAGTCCCACCCCTCTAGTGCTGGATTGTGCCCTTCCACTGGGCTGGATCATTCAGGGTTCAGCTCAGAATGTGGCACTGGCTTTGTAACCCACTAGAGTCAGAGCTTCAGCCCTCTGGAGTTTGTGGGGGAGGGTAGGGACCCACCCAGCCACAACAGGCCATCTCCCCCTTTCAGCTTTCTCTCTCTCTTGTGTCATGGGGTAGGGGCCCGCCCAGCTGCTCATGCTTACAGCTCCCTCTCTCTCTGGGCAGAGGGAGGGGACAATAGCTCAGTCTGCAGGCTCTTATTCAACTCCACACTTGTAATTCCCAGCACTTGACTAGCAAAGATCCCCTGTTCTGTGTATTGCTGAGGCTTTGGGGGAAGCGCTGTATCTGGACCAGAGTGCCAGAGGGGAGCCTCTGACTTGTCAGTCAGATGCACTTTCTGGGTGAAGCAGCACCCCTCCCCGCCTCAGTCTGCCCTGAGTGGGCTTTGCTCACCATGGGACCAGACCCATTTAAATGCACCTGTACCTCGGCTGGAACTAGGAGATCTTTGGATTTCTGTGTCTCTCTTGCTGGGTGTTGTGAGCTGAAGTTGTGTCTAATTGGCCATCTTGGATCTCCCTCATCTCAGGTGCAAACTCTTAAGCAAGAAAGAGACTGTGCAGAAAGGAGATGGTGCCCCACCCACCCTGCCTCCCACTAATCCCCCTCCAGCTTCCCCTCCCAGCCATTCAAAACCCTGGCCACATGGCCCTGTGGTGACCATGCCTGTGTGCTCAGTCCAGGAGACTCTTCCTCTGGGGATCCATAGGCCCCCAAGGAGGGCACTGATGAGAAAAGGTGTGAAGACAGTCCATTACTCTGGAAGGTCCAAATCTGGAGGGTAGAAGTCAGTGATCTGGGCCTGCTTTCTGGTTGCAGAGGCTGGCTCCTCACTGAGTCCTCATAAGGTAGATAGAGCCAGAAGCCTTTTTAAAATTATTTTTTCTTTAATTTTGGCTCTTAATTATTTAAAACTTTATATGATTCCTAAGTCAAAACTATTTTTAAACAGTTATATTCAGAGTTGCAATTCCATCTGTATTTCTGCCGCCTCATTCCTTCCCTCCCCATATAGGTAAACCTTTTTAAAAATGATGTTATGGTTTATCCTTCCATTGCACTCAGAGTTGCAGATGGGATGCATGCTGTGGGGTATAATATAAGCAAGAGTTTCCATCTACTAGGGTGACACACACTGAGTGCAGGAGCTTCACAGCTCACTTAGGTATATTGGGTTGTTGTGATGGTCATGGGGGAAGGTGGGGAGAGAGAGCCCATTTTAACTGTCACAGGAATGCCAAGACTCCAGGAAGCTGAGAAGAATGGAGTTAAAACCAAAACGATGGCCTAAAACCAAAAATCAAGCCTGTAATCCCAGCACTTTGGGAGGCCAAGGCGGGCAGATCACTTGAGGTCAGGGATTGGAGACCAGCCTGGCCAACATGGTGAAACCCCAACTCTCTACTAAAAATACAAAAATCAGCCAGGCATGGCAGTACACATCTGTAGTCCCAGCTCTCCAGAGGCTGAGGCAGGAGAATTGCTTGAATCCAGAAGGCGGAGTTTGCAGTGAGCTGAGATGACACCACTGCACTCCAGCCTGGGCAATAAAAACAAAACAAAACACTGGATCTATAATTATTTTATTGATTTTAATTAATTATTATTATTTTGGTTCTCCTGTCTCAGCCTTCCAAGTAGCTTAGATGACAGGTGTCTGCCACCATGCCTGGCTAATTTTTGTATTTTTAGTAGAGACAGGGTTTCACCATGTTGGCCAGGCTGGTCTCAAACTCCTAACCTCAAGTGATCCAACTGCCTTGGCCTCCCAAAGTGCTGGGATTACAGGTATGAGCCACCATGCCTGCCTGATACTGCCCTAACTCTCAGGTTGCATCCTTACTCGGATGGTATGACAGTGTGGGAAGCAGCATGGGACAATGTAAAAAGGAGGCATGCTTCTGGCTTCTACCATTTACTAGCTGTGTCTCTGCATGTGATTCTTAACCTCTCTGGGCCTCAGTTTCCTTATCTGAAAAATAAGAATGATAGTATTCCCTTCACAAGGCCAAAGGGAATACTATCAGGCCCACTACATAATGAAACTGAATAAATAATAGCTACTGGGGCTGGGCACAGTGGCTCACACGTGTAATCCCAGCACTTTGGGAGGCCAAGGCAGGCAGATCATGAAGTCAAGAGATTGAGACCATCCTGGCTAACATGGTGAAACCCCATCTCTACTAAAAATACAAAAATTAGCCAGGTGTGGTGGCATACACCTGTAGTCCCAGCTACTCAGGAGACTGAAGCAGGAGAATGGCTTGAACCTGGGAGGCAGAGGTTGTAGTGAGCCGAGATCACACCACTGCACTCCAGCCTGGTGACAGAGTGAGACTCTGTCTCAAAAAATAATAATAATGAAAACCAAGATAATAATAGCTACTGTTATTATTACCTGGTCATTTCCTTGTTGTTTCACAGGAAATTTGCGAGAATCCCCGATTTATCATTGGTGGAGCCAACAGAACTGACATCTGTCAAGGAGATCTAGGTAGGTAGGAAAGTGCCTCAGGTCAGATCCTGCTAGATGATCAAGGGATGATTACAAGGTGTGATCCCTTCCCAGGAGGTAAAGGGACAGTCTATTCTTGCTCCTAGTAACTTTTTGAAAGATTTTTATAACAGTTACTTTATGGTCATTTATCTATGTGCTGGTGATTGCTTTGTTTCCTCCTACATTCCTCCTTAGCACTCAGCCATGTGTCACAGGGGTATTTGCATCCTGTGCCCCCTCTCCAGCATCTCAGGGACTTACACACCCCACTCAGCATGACAAAAGTCCTGTTTTTCACTGTACCCGTCTTTTTAGAAGACAGCTCTGTGACTGTGCACCAGGCATGCCCCTTGGACATGTAGACTCTAGATACACACACAAAAGGCATTGCCAAGGAAAGCACTTGTAACTGGAACCCTTGTTTAAATTGCCCCAGCATAGCTCCGTATTAAAGGAGTCTTTCAACAAAGATGGTATCTGCCATGTGGATGAGCACCCAATTTTCTCTTTAATTGGTTAGCTTGGCTGCTCCATGTGATCTTCCTCTCTTAACCTCTTGTTCAGAAAGTATTGCCTTTGGTGTGGACTATAAGCAAGCTCTGTGAAGTAAATTTAAAGAGAGCATCAACAAAAACAATTTAAATTTCAGGAAAAGGGGCATCCAAGACCAAATGAGGAAAATTTGTCTTATTTTGTTCCAGAAGGGGAGGCTGAAATCAAATGGATATCTGGGTTCCAGCACCTGGGGGAAGGCTTCCTGCAGAGCCCTGGAATTAATAATCTGAGACCTTCAGACCAATATACTCTTTCCAAGGAAAGACTGGCTGCTTCCAAGGAGGGGAGGGGAGGGTGACTGCAGGCAGCGCTCAGTCTCTCCTGCACACTCTCAGTTGCATTTCACTTAACCTATCCTCCTTAGAAGGCAGCTCTATGACCAGGTACACCCACTATTACACACACACACACACACACACACACACACACACACACACACACACACACAGATGGGGGGGAGAGAAAGAGAGAGAGAGAGAAAATATCCCAATCTAATTCAATTGCCAGCAATGTCTTACTGCCCCCTATAGACCGGTTCCAGGGCAGCTGCCTACCTGGTCTTCCTTCCAATTCAAATCATCCTGGTGGATGGTTCTCTGATGTTCAGTCTTCACTGACGTCAGAAGGGGAATTGGACTCACATTGCAAAGGCACAGGGCAGGGTGGCTTTCCTAAAGCTGTTAGGAAGAACACCCTAGTTATGATCAACTACTGCTCTGTCTCCATTGAGGCCTAAAAAGGAAGTGAGTTTATACTGCAGATGGAGGAACTGCCTGCAGCCCTGAGCAAAATGTCTAGTCACAGGGGAGTAAGTTACCTGTTGATCATATTGTCAAGGAATTCCTGTCCAAATCTCCTTCCCTGGGTTGACACCTCTGTGAGGTCAGATCTGGAAGTAGGACAGTGGGCACCAAGGGAGTCCCCGTTCAGGAAAGTGGAGGAGCTGGCTTGGATTGGGGCTTTTTCTTCCCAGGAGGAGGAGGACTGTTCACAATCTATGCCCTGTGTCTGCCTGCAGGTGACTGCTGGTTTCTTGCAGCCATTGCCTGCCTGACCCTGAACCAGCGCCTTCTTTTTCGAGTCATACCCCATGATCAAAGTTTCATCGAAAATTACGCAGGGATCTTCCACTTTCAGGTGAGGTAATGAGAGCGTAGTTAAGAGGGTCAGCTGCAAGCCACCCACTGCTGGTTTCCTGGCCTTGACTTCCCAGAAGCTTGAGGAAACTTTCCACCCATCTACCCCCAGCGGCAACAGTAGGCATGGACCCCCTTAAGGATTCAAGTCTGGGAGGAAGCAGTTGCTTTTTTATCTCTGGCCCCTAAGCCCTCCCCTCAACCTTCTGCTATGTCCCAGAAAGGCAGGAAGACATCCTGTTTACTGGCCTGTGGGTCTATTTTTGTCTCTGCAGCTGTCTGGATGCTGTTATTGCCTGTAGCCCTTCTCAAGTAGGTCCCTAAGATATTAGCACTGGGATGCCACAGGACCCTTCAGATTGTACAGGAACCCCTGGTACATGGCTCCTGTGTACTTCCTCTCTAAGACATGGTGTACCAAGGCTATCACACCTCTCTTCCAACCCCTGGAAGAAGAGTCTGCTTAACCTGGGGATCAGCCTTCATGTTTGCCCCAGAACTGAGTCTCATGGTTCTAGAATCCATCGAGCCACTGGAAATGTTCTGGGTTCTAGTCATCTTGGCATAGAGCTGGTGCTAGAGCAGAACCAAACTAAATTCTACCTGTGAGGGTCTCGAAGTTTCAGGATGCTGAGGAGTCAGCCTGTCTCCAGCTTTGAAGGCTCCCTCATGTCCTAGGATGACCCAGATCATCAGTTCTTGCTCCTCTGGTCTTGCATCTCAGCACAGAAGGCCTCAGGAAAGGTTTATCTTATCCAGGCTAAGACTCCACCTCCTGCTGCCTTGGGAACATGGCATGGCAGCCAGTCCCTGCATGTCATTTCTTCCCTGTGCCATCAAACTATTAGATTCCCTCTGATAGTTAAAGGGCCCTCTGATAGTTAAAGGGTCTCAGCTCTAAAAGGGTCTTAAATACAAGTATCAGCTATCTGTTCTCTTTTCAATGAGGGAGAAAGTGCCATTGAAAAGGAGACCAAACTGCATTTGGGCCTTTTCAATTCAAACTTCAAAAAAGAGCAACATCCAAATTTGAAATGATTAGACAATGTTCCTGCTACAGCTAGAGTAGATTCTGGGTCACTTTCTTCCTTCATTTCAATCCTTGTTCTTCAGTTTGGTATCAAGAAATACCTAAATCAGTACAGTGCCTTCACTGCATAGTTCCCAGTCCTGGCCACATTGAATCATCTGGGATACCTGAGAGTATTGACACCCAGGCCCTGCCCTAGACCTGCTGAGCAGGAGAATGAAAATTTTACATCCTAAGACACTCAAGGAGCACCTACTCTACCTGGTACTGGCCTGGACTCCGTGGAAGAGGTGAGGTGTATGTAACTCACTTCCTGCCCTCAAAAATCACAGTCCAGTTAGAGACAGATTCACACACTCCAAACCCAGAATAGGATAAACAGGTACCCAGATGTGAGTACAGGAAATGATGCTGCTTTGGTATCCAAGAACCCCCTGAGGACTGTGGAGGAAAGACAATTTCCTAACAGTAATCTGAGGATGTGACTCTGCGTGATGCTTCTGTGCAGTTCTGGCGCTATGGAGAGTGGGTAGACGTGGTTATTGATGACTGCCTGCCAACATACAACAATCAACTGGTTTTCACTAAGTCCAACCACCGCAATGAGTTCTGGAGCGCTCTGCTGGAGAAAGCTTATGCTAAGTAAGCAACGCTTTAGAATGTGAGGCGGGGCTAGAGGTGAGAAAGTGGGTTGCAGAATCCAGCCAAGGCCTCACTCACAGGAAGATGCATGTGCCTCTGTACATGCATATGTGTGGGCATGGATGTTCAACTGTGACCCAAAGTTACAGACCAGTTTCAGGCAACAACAGCTCTAACTAAAAACATTAAATTTAAGAGTAGAAATTAAGATTTACATAGAAGACCTTGAGCTTTAGCTTCCCATGGTGAGTTCTTTCATTGCGCCTCCATGGTGGTATTGCAAGTCTGGGATCAGAGCATTGTATCCCTGGAGCTCAGATCCCAGAGTCTTGCTTGGCTCAACCTCACATGCTTGTAGCAGATTTATAAAGCCATGTTGTCTCTCAAGTTAAAAGCTCCACCCTAGATGCTAATAATGGGGTTTTTTTTTATCTTTTTTTGAAACAAGGTCTCACTCTGTCACCCAGGCTGGAGTGCAGTGGTGCAATCACAGCTCACTGCAGCATTGACTCCTGGGCTCAAGGTGATCCTCCTGCCTCAGCCTGCCAAGTAGCTGGGACTATATGCGGGCATCAACATGTCCGGCTAATTTTTGTATTTTTTGTAGAGACAGGGTTTTGCTATGTTGCTAAGGCTGATCTCAAACTCTTGGGCTCATATGATCCACTAGCCTCAGCCTCCCAAAGTGTTGGGATTGCAGGTGTGAGCCACCACACTGGCAGCTGCTAATGGCTTTAATGAAGCCCTTCCTCAAGGCTCAGGATGTAGTGGAAAGAGAGCTCTCAGGAAGTAGGAATAGCTGGGTTTCAATCCCAGTGCTTCTGGCTCTCTGTGGCCTTGGGTAGGTCACTTAGCCTCCTGAGCTCAGTTTCTTCATTATGAAGAAAGGGAATCATCGTTTCCATCCCCTTAGTTTACAGGGTTAATGTGGAATTGATGAAAGAATATCACATCACCCAAGAGGTAAAGTTCTGGTGGTAGTGATACCTAGGTTTTGTTTCCTGGAACTCTGTGACCGCCCTCCCACCCCCACATTTGGTCTCCATCCTCTCTCTAAGGCTCCATGGTTCCTATGAAGCTCTGAAAGGTGGGAACACCACAGAGGCCATGGAGGACTTCACAGGAGGGGTGACGGAGTTTTTTGAGATCACGGATGCTCCCAGTGACATGTACAAAATCATGAAGAAAGCCATTGAGAGAGGATCCCTCATGGGCTGCTCCATTGATGTAAGTCTGGGGTGTCAGGAACAGGGCAGGGAGCTCCAAGTGTCAGGAAACCTTTTACCCAATGAAAGGCAGCATAGAGCTTTTGTGTGGGACAGAGCAAATGTTTTGTTTGAGAAAGCAGAAACTGGCTCTCAACTTTGAAGACTGGGAATTTCTCAAGGGAGAATAGTTCTTGGGGATTTTCAATAAAGACACTGGTCAAGGACATTCCAAGTTCTGGAATGTCAGTGGAAATTGGTCCAGAGGTCTGTGTCAGTGGAGGCCTCCCTTGCTGGTGCTCCTCAATCTCAGCACACTCCCTATTAAGCTGGCCAAATACTTGGCTGTGGACCTAAGTCCACCACTTCCCTAAGAAAGCCTCCCAGTCACTGGCGTTTCACTGTACCCCCTCACTCAGGACGTAGGCTTTGTGTTGTTACCTGGAAGAAGCTAAGCCTGCAGCCCCTTTCAGTGCAAAGAAATGCTGTGAACTGAGACAGGAGCCAAGGGTACAGAGATGGCCACCCATGGCCCGGCCTCCTTCAAGCATACCTTCCCTGAGGCTGCTCGGTATAGTAATATGATAGTGTTAGTGGTTTCTACTGGTGAGAAAGGGATCCAAGCTGAATTCCTGGCCTTTCCTCTCCCAACATGCCCAGTGGATAGATTGGAATATCAGTTAGCATACAACACCACAGATGAACTTTTTCTGTATCACTTTTCTGCATCTTTCCTCCATTCGTGCTCTATTGATCTCTCCTTTTCCCCTTTGTCTGTCCCATCTCTTCCTCCTCTCTCCTTCCCTTTCCACCCTTCTGTGTTTGTTCTCTCCCTTGCCTGGGTTGTTCCCTACTCTCTCTGTCTGGCCTCAGGATGGCACAAACATGACCTATGGAACGTCTCCTTCTGGTCTGAACATGGGGGAATTGATTGCACGGATGGTGAGGAATATGGATAACTCGCTGCTCAGGGACTCAGACCTCAACCTCAAAGACTCAGATGAAAGGCCGACCCGGGTGCGTATGCCTCCAAATATCAGACTTGACCATCCCTCCAACCCACACGACCCCACCTGTTGATGTCAGACTCCCTTCAGCAGCGAGGCCCTTAGCCACAGACCCCCACCTGCTACCTCCCAAGAGTCTGGATTGAAATAATTTGCTCAGCCAAGACTCCTGAGGAAGTGCAAGAATCAGGGTTTTGGAGGGAGTCTCTGCTGCAGTTTCTGCATATTCCATGGTCCAGGCAGTTCTTCTCATTAACGAACTATCAGACAGAAATAGCAGAGAGACTTATTTTAAAACATTTTTCCTCTTTTAATGTATTTGTTTATTCATTCTACACTTATTTTTGAGCTCCTACTATGCTCTAGGCACTCCTCTAGCAAGCTAAGCAAAGTCTCTCCTCCTTTAGTATTTGTGGAAAAAGCTAGGTCTACGCCTTGTAGAGTTTGTATTCTAGTACTATCATAAGTTATACCTGCTCACTGGAGAATACTGAGCCATACAGAAAAACACAAAGGAAAATTTCACTTACATTTTCCCCATATAAAGATAATCACTCTTAACATCTGACATATGTCCTTCCAGGATTTTTCTCTGCACACACTGAATCTATCTTTTTATTTAAAAAAAAAAATTTTTTTTCTGAGACGGAGTTTCGCTCGTTACCCAGGCTGGAGTGCAATGGCACGATCTCGGCTCACCGCAACCTCCACCTCCTGGGTTCAGGCAATCCTCCTGCCTCAGCTTCCTGAGTAGCTGGGATTACAGGAACGCGCCACCATGCCCAGCTAATTTTTTGTATTTTTAGTAGAGACGGAGTTTCACCATGTTGACCAAGATGCTGTCGATCTCTTGACCTCATGATCCACCCACCTCAGCCTCCCAAAGTGCTGGGATTACAGGCGTGAGCCACTGCGCCCAGCCAATCTTTTTATTTTTTAAATGTTGTCATACTGTATGTACCTTTTTGCAGCCTGCTCTTTTCAGTTATTTTAATCTCTTTTTTTTTTGAGACCAAATCTCACTCCGTTGCCCAGGCTGAAGCACAGTGGTGCTATCTTGGCTCACTGCAACCTCTGCCTTCAGTTTAAAGCAGTTCTCCTGCCTCAGCCTCCTAACAAAGCTGGTATTACAGGCGCCCGCCACCACACCTGGCTAATTTTTGTATTTTTAGTAGAGATGGGTTTTACCATGTTGGCCGGGCTGGTCTCAAACTCCTGACCTCAAGTGAGCCACTGTGCCCAGCCTAGTTTGATATTCTTAATGTGCCAAAAGTATTCTCCTATAACATTTTTTAGTAGCTGCACAATATTCAAACACACAGATATGTTATATTTACCCAATACACTATACTAGAAAGTTGAGGGTTTTTCTTTGTTTTGTTTTGTTACTATTCTAAAATGCTAGAATGAACATCCCAATAGATACATTTTTGTGTATATCCATGGTGACTTCCGTAGGACAGATTCCCAGCAGTAGAATTGCTGGATTGAATGATATGCTTAGGTAATGACAGAGAGTCATTTCAAGCAGCTTCCCAGGTCTAGAACTAAGGATTAGTGCATTTCCCAACCCATCTTGGTCTATTCAGCATGATCTGGACCATGAGGACTGAGATCTGGGAGAGGCTGAGACGCCAAAAGCCCTGGTCCACCCATACCCCTCACCCTGAAAAAGGCTGTAGGAATTCTGCAGCCTAGCAAGGCTTCAGGAAGCTCCTTTTAAAAGCTGTTAGTAGGCACATGGAAGCCACAGAGCCTATCTAAGGCTTGTGTGACTTTAGTGACCTTACCCTTCTGCCAAGGATCCCCCATGGCTGCAACCTGGTTATTGCTTTACAGACCATCGTTCCATTTCAGTATGAGACAAGAATGGCCTGTGGGCTGGTCAGAGGTCACGCCTACTCTGTCACCGGCCTGGAGGAGGTGAGCCTGTAGTGGAGCTGGGTGGGGCATAGGTACCCTCCTGGCTTAACCTCCTGAGTCAGGACTTAGTTGTTGGGGCCTCTTCCCTGTCTGCAGAGCTTGCCTCCAATCAGGACATTCAGTTCAAGGTCCAAGCCACATACCTGGGAGCAGAGGGGCCTGGGACACTTGTAGTGGGGTCAGCAGTTTATCATTGCTTTTCATGCTAAAGATGGCAATTTTGCAACATTCCCAAGGAACCAATTGAAATGTCATTTCACTTTGCTTTCACAAAGCTAGTTTCATGTGTTCTTGAGATTCCTGTTCTCTCATGTTCAGATAGCTACAGTTGTCTCTGGGTAGCCACAGGGATTGGTTCCAGAACCCCCAACAGTAAAAAAAATCTGCAGATGCTCAAGTTCCTTCTGGAAAATGGAGTAGTATTTGCATATAACCTACACACATCCTCCTGTATACTTTAAGTCATCCCTGGATTACTTATGATACCTAACACAATGGAAATGCTATGTGAATAGTTGTTACACAGCATTGGAGTTTTTTGGTATTACTATTATTTTATTATTTTTTGTTTTTCAAATATTTTTGATCCATGATTGGTTATATGCTGAAGCCATGCATACGAGAGACTGACTCTTCTGTTTTGCTCCTTTTGGGACTTCTGGGCTTTCCTGAAAGCCCAGAGATAGGAACATTGTCAGGCCCATTGCACACAGTTCGGCAGGTTGTGCCCTGTACAGAGGGATGGGCTGAGATGGGCAGTTGTCTGCTTGTTTGTAGTTCCTCAGTCAGCAGGGGCCTTTTTTCTAATTTATACAAAGACACCTAATGTGCTAGCGACCCTACTGTATATGCTCCTCCCTCCCCACCCCCCCCAACCCCCACAAGTTCATAATGGCTAGGATGTTCTCTGAGAAAATTGCCTCTTAGAGTGGAGACAGCCAAGCTCTAATTCAGGCAGACTCAGGAGGAAAGGTATGACCTCACCCCCTGCCATTCCCAGCACACTTCTGATTCATCTCTTTGGCCAGAACCTGGCAGAACATCCTCCCATAAGGGATTCGGCCCCCAGCCCCATCCCATCTTTCAAGCAAGACAGAAGATTCCCTTTCCAGACAGGCTGCAGGGCATGACAGCGCTTTCTCTGTGCTTAAGGTCCTGTTCAAAGGTGAGAAAGTGAAGCTGGTGCGACTGCGGAACCCCTGGGGCCAGGTGGAGTGGAACGGCGCTTGGAGTGATGGGTAGGTGAGGGGACTCCATGGGATTGGCAATAGCAGGGAACAGGGCCCAGGACAAGGCTATGTTGGGAACTGAGCCATGAGAGTATTGAAGATGCTTGGTATAAAATCGCCCTCAAAACCAATGATCTGCAGAGAAGAGGGGTACAGGTGTTGGCACGAGTGGAAGTGGGGTCTGGGGACCCAGAGAGGTTGCTGACAGCCATTGGCTGGAAAGGAAGGATTCCAGAAAGGACAAAGAAGGTCCCCACAGGAGGAGAGTATGAATGCAGGGGTCTGGGCTGGACAAGTGACTTCCCTTCTTGCAGTCTTTGCTGCCTTACCTGTGAAATGGGAATGGTATTATTAGCACTTACCTTGTGAGTTCATAAGTATAGTAAATGGGACTGTTTTTGGAAAGTGCTGAGCCATTACCAAGATTTCCTTATCCGTGCTGACCCCATATAAAGGCGCAAGGGCTGTATGAAAGAATTTTACTGCTTGTCACTGAAAGGAACAGACTGGGGGCAACAAAAATAATAAACATGGGAAGTTATTATGAAGGCTCCAGCACATTTGCAAAACTTCCATAGTCCTACTGGTTCCTAATTACCTCTACTGAATGAGAGGCAGTTCATTACTGAATGAGTCCATGAGCTCCTGTTTTATTTCCAGAGGGGACAGCAGGACTCAGTAGTAGAGAATGACTGCAAACAGGCAGCCTGGGCCCTTCAGCTCCTGTGCTCATGTACCACTGCATACCTCTTAGCTCAGCATGTAATTACTGGTTCATTCAGTCATTCATTTAGAAAATGTTTCTTGGGCACCTACTACATAGGAGGCACACATCAAGGTACTGGGGATATCCTGTGAACCCACAGTCTCCCTCAATACACTGTGATAAGAGTCTGATCCTCATGCCCTGACTGCCTCCTACAGTCATCCACTTATCCACACTACAAATGCTTACTCCTTTCACTTACCCATGCTGCAAATGCTTACTTCCTCAATGCTGATTTCTGCCAGGCCCTAGACTACTGACTGGGAATGTAGAAATGAAAGGACACATTGGGCATCTGTGGGTTTAAGGCCCAGGCAAGGACAGGCAAGCACACACTAATAATTGAGATCAATGTCACAGTAAGGATCACAAAGAGGGGGCCTCTGCACGTAGTTCGGGTGGGAGAGGAAGCATAGAGAAATGTTGCCTGGAGGGAGTGACAATGGAACTGTGCTCTCTGCTCTGGGAAGGCCCTTGGTGACTCCTCAGTTGTCCACTCTGTTGGCCCAAGTCACCCGCAGGGAACCTTGCTGTGTTCTCCAGCCTCAGAGCTTGGTGGGCAGCCCTGTCCTGCTTACCATGATGCTTCCCTCACAGGGGCTGCTGACAAGTGGACCCAACCCTGTTCACTCACGGAGATTTCCTCTGATGTGTCCCTTCTCCTGGTCTTGGGAATGTCCGTGTTCCCTGTGGTGCTCTCTGACTCCAAGCACTTCCTCAGCCCCTTACCTTTCCAGGGACCATCCAGTTTAGTTGAATTCTCCTCAGTGAGCCTGAAACACAGATGCACATTATTGCCTCCATCATGAGGAAAGTGTGTGTGTAAAAACTGCCTAGTGTTTAGAAACACAATGCTGGGCTATTTCCCGGAACAGGGAAGGAGATGTTTACAGGCTTGGCTTTTTTTCTTAGTAACTCAGTTTCTTATTATATGACAGGCACTATGCTAACAGCTTTGCATGCATTATTTCATCTGCCCATTCCAGACCTGTGAACAGGTGACATAATCACTTCCCTTTTGCAGTTGAGGAAACAGAGTCTGACAGAGGTTAAGTGACCTGCCCAAGGTTGCACAGCTAGAACTATTATTAAACAGATACCCCAGTTCATCTATGTCCAGAAACAAATCTTTTTCTTTTTCTTTTTTTTTTTTTTTTGAGACGGAATCTTACTCTGCCACCCAGGCTGGAGTGCAGTGGTGTGATCTTGGCTCACTGCAATCTCTGCCTCCCAGGTTCAAGTCGTACTTCTGCCTCAGCCTCCCAAGTAGCTGGGACTACAGGTGCATGCAACCACACCCAGCTAATTTTTGTATTTTTAATACAAATTTGTATTTTTTAATATAAATTCTTAACCTTTAAAGTGCGATGAGAAGGGTCAAGCCCTCACCAGCCCATTTAAGGAGTTTATGTTCAGTCTTGAGGATGTGAGAAGTCACTGCTGTTGGGTTTCATGCTGAGGGTAACAGATCAGATCAGCATTTTGGTGGTTCACAGTGGCTGTAACTCTTCGTATTTCTCTGATACCTCCTGTCCCAACCTACATCAGGCCTTCCCTTCTTCCCCTTCCTTATTTCCTCCATTTTCTCCCCAGTTGGAAGGACTGGAGCTTTGTGGACAAAGATGAGAAGGCCCATCTGCAGCACCAGGTCACTGAGGATGGAGAGTTCTGGTGAGTCCGGAAAGCATGAAGACCCAGAAGGGTAAGGGATGGGGATGAGAGGGAAAATCTCAGACCTCAATCCCCAGATGAAGTTATCAGATTCCAGCCCTTGGGAGATCTGGGCCCTGTTCTCCTCCCCCAGTCCAAGGCTCAGCTAGGATGAGGTTCTGAGAGGAGCCCTCCAGGCCACAGGGACAACTGAGCCCAGGACCAGGTCAACATGACATGTATCTTGCCTCCCCTGTACTCCTCCCCCACACACTCTATTCCAGCCACATGCACCACAGACTTACCACAATTTTTTCTGAGCCTAGGAAGCTCTACTTACCCTGATCTCCCAGTGCCCACCTCACCCTCACTCAGGTTGTTTCTACTCAGGCTTCAAGTCTCAGCTTGAGGAGAATCTTCAGCTTAAAGAGAACCCCCTGTATTAACACAGGACTGGGATTAATTTATGATGCTCATCACCCTTAAAATTGTTTGCTTAATTGTCTGTTGTTTCCCAAACAATATCTCTTTTCCATGTGCCTAGCAGAGCTCCTGGTGCACGGTGGTGGGACACACAGTAACCTTTTGGAGAACTGAATTTCTTTTGAGCCCTCCCATCAAGATAATGAGTTTGAGTCATTTTTTAAAGATGTCTGCACTTTAATGTTCATAAGTTATACTATAGTTTTTAAAAAGGAAAAGTATGTAAATGAAGAATGAATGGATAGGAACAAAAAATGAAAATGGGTTTTATTAGTTTCTTATTTTTTAGAGCCATGTTATTTTTATTCCAATTACAATAGATAAGAGGTACAGAAAGCTTATAGGTGTATTTGTTAAGAGAGTTGTGTTAGATTTGTAAATCACATTCCTCATGCAATGTGAAAGCAAAGCCTCATGAAAGTTTGAGTCTTTTAGTTTCCTTGTCTTCAGATTCCTTCATGTTTTTCAGCTTGAGACGTATATGTAGAATATAAGTTTGGACATAAACCAACAGGTAAATTTGTAGCAGAGCTTTTCTCATTACAAGCAAATGTGAGTTTTCCAAATCAATGATGATAATAAAGCTTAAGCAGTAGAGACACCAAGGGCAGTCACTTAGAAAATAAAATGCAAATTGGGAGTGGTGACACATGCCATAGTCCCAGCTGCTTGGGAGGCTGAGGTGGGAGGATCGCTTGAGCCCACCCCAGGAGTTCAAGTCTAACCTGAGTAACATCATGAGACCCCTATATCTAAAAAATAAAAGTAAAGAAAATGAGAACCATGGTTTGTGGCCAATATGTTAGAAAAAAAATTGTTCTCTTTTTCTTAGTTCCTTTTGGGAAAATAAGGATTTTTCTGTCAACAGAAACTGACACTGTGGCAGACATTAAGTATGTTGTCTTAAACTTTGGGAAGCCATGGCAGCCGGATCACTTGAGGTCAGGAGTTTGAGACCCGGGAAGCAGAGGTTGCAGTAAGCCCAGATTGCGCCGCTGCACCCTAGCCTGGACGACAGAGCGATAATCTGTCTTAGGGAAAAAAAAATGTTGTCTTGGTATAATGTCAAGGAAAAGGTTTTTTGTGTTTTTATTGCCTTTTAAATTTATTTAAAAATAAAATAGAGACAGGCCTTGCATATTGCACAGGCTGATCTCAAACTCCTGGGCTCAAGCATTCCTCCTACCTTGGCCTCCCAAAATGCAGATATGTGGGCCTGGGCAACATAGGGGACCCCAACTCTACAAAAATTTAAAACTTAGCCAGGTGTGGTGGTGTGTGCCTTTAGTCCCAGCTACTTGGGAGGCTGAATCAGGGGGTCACTTGAGCTCAGGAGGTTGAGGCCACAGTGAATTATGACTGCACCACTGCAGTCCATCCTGGGCAACGGAATAAGACCCTGTCTTTAAAAAAAAGTGCTGGGATTACAGGTGTAAGCCACCACAACTGGCCTTCTATTTTTTATGGATATATCATAGCTATATATATTTTGGGGGTGCATGTGGTATTTTGATACACATATACAATGTGTAATGATTAAATCAGAGTAATTGGGACACCATCATCTCAAATATATATCTTTTCTTTGTGTTGGAAACATTACAATTCTTCTCCTCTAGCTATTTTGAAAGCTACTATAGACTGGGCATGGTAGCTCATGCCTGTAATCTCAACACTTTGGGAGGCTGAGGCAGGTGGATCACTTGAGGTCAGAATTCGAGACCAGCCTGGTCAATATGGTGAAACTCCATCTCTACAAAAATATGAAAATTAGCTAGATGCAGTGGCATACATTTGTAATCCCAGCTACTCAGGTGGCTGAGGCAGGAGAATCCCTTGACCTCAGGAGGCAGAGGTTGCAGTGAGCCAAGATCGTGCCACTGCACTCCAGCCTGGGCAACAGTGAGACTCCATCTCAAAAGAAAAGAAATGTGTGTGTGTATGTATATATATATATACATATATATACATACACACACACTATACTATAAATTCTTGTTTAGCTATGTTTGCCTTACTGTGCTATTGAGCACTAGAGCTTTTTTTTTTTTGAGATGGAGTCTCACTCTGTCACCTAGGCTGGCATGCAGTGGCGCAATATGGGCTCACGGCAATCTCTGCCTCCTGGGTTCAAGCAATTCTCCTGCCTCAGGCTCCTGAGTAACTGCGATTACAGGCGCCTGCCATAACACCCAGCTAATTTTTGTATTTTTAGTAGAGAAGGGGTTTCACCATGTTGGCCAGGCTGGTCTTGAATTCCTAGCTTCAGGTGATCTGCCTGCTTTGGCCTCCCAAAGTGTTGGGATTACAGGCATGAGCCACAGCGCCCTGCAGAGCACTAGAGCTTATTTCTTCTATCTAACTGTACTTTTTTACCCATTAGCCACCCTCTTATCATCTTCCCCCTCCTTCCCTTCCCAACCTCTGGTAACCACCATCTCCCTACTTCCATGACATCCATTTTTTTTAGCACTTTCATATGAGTGAGAACATGTCTTTGTGGGACTAGCTCATTTTTGAATCATTGTTAGAAAAGATGATGGTTTGTAGTAGATAAATCAGAAGTGCCAGCGTTTGCCCTAAAAAGGAAAGACAAGCTCCTCTGGGACCCTGACCAAGTTCCTGTGAATTATTTTGTTACTGTGCTGTGTTAGCCCTGGGGTCTTCCATTCCCAGCCCTCCTCACCTGCTCCCGTATGGGTCTCTCTCTTCTTCCAACTTCTCAGGATGTCCTATGAGGATTTCGTCTACCATTTCACAAAGCTGGAGATCTGCAACCTCACGGCCGACGCTCTGGAGTCTGATAAGCTTCAGACCTGGACAGTGTCTGTGAACGAGGGTCGCTGGGTACGGGGCTGCTCCGCCGGAGGCTGCCGCAACTTCCCAGGTGGGAGATGCTGCTGATGCGGGGAGGGTCAAGCAAAACAAGTTCTAGGTAGAAGCAGCCTAACTAGCACTTATTGAGACTCTGTTCCAGATGCCCACTATCTTATTAAACTCTCCCTATTTTACCAAGAAGGAAACCACTATGTTGAGAAGTTTACAACAGGGAGCTGGTAGTGACTTTGAAGCAGGAAACTGTGGGAACAATGTAGATGCTGCTTGACTTACAACGAGGTTTTGTCCAGGCAGGCCATCAGCAGTTGAAAATACCATAAGTCAAAAGTGCATTTAATATGCCTAACCCACCAAATGTCATAGCTTAGCCTGGCCCACCTTAAACATGCTTGGAACACTGGCCTTAGCCTGAAGTTGGGCAAAATCATCTAACACAAAGCCTATTTTATAATAAAGTGTTGAATATCTCATGTAACTTATTTAATACTATACTAAAAGTGAAAAACAGAATAGTTGTCCGGGTACTTGAAATCCAGTTTCTACTGAATGTGCAACACTTTCACATCATAAAGTTAAAAAACTGTAGCCAAACATCCTAAGTTGGGGACTGTGTGTACTGTGTCAGTAACAGTGAGGGTAGTAGTGGAAAACCAGGTTAGCAGCTGATGCAATAGTTCAAGTCAGAGATGATGAAAGCCTGGACCAAGTCAGCAGCAGCAGAGATGGAGGGGACAGAGTAGACAGGGAGAGCATGTTGGGTGATGTAGGGAAGAAAGAATAAAGAATGATGTCAAGATTCCCAGTTTGAGGACCTGACAATATTGCAACATAAGAACACAAGAAGGCCAAGCGGGCAGCTCACACCTATAATCCCAGCACTTTGGGAGACAGAAGCAGGAGGATCTCCTGAGCCCAGGAGTTCAAGGCCAGCATAGGCAATATAGTGAGACCTCATCTTTACAAATAAATTAAAAATTAGGCTGGAGGATTGCTAGAGTTTGGGATACTGAGGCTGCAATGAGCCCTCATCACACCACTGCACTCCTGCCTGGGTGACAGAGCAAGACCCTGTCTCAGAAGAAAAAAAAAAAAAAAAAAACACGAGGAAAAGATCAGCGTGTTATTTTGGGGGGAGTTCATTGTGGGGTTATAGGGAAAGGAATTTTGCTTGGGACATGAAAGTTTGAGGTTCCTGTGAAGATATGTAACAGAGATCTGAATATGCATATTAGATGGCACATATTAGAACTAAAAATATTTGAGGACTAAAAGAAAGAAGAGGCCAGGCATGGTGGCTCACGCCTGTAATCCCAGCACTCCTGACCAGGAGTTCAAGGCCAGCTTGGCTAACACGGTGAAACCCCAGCTCTACTAAAAATAAAAAAATACATGGTGACGAGCGCTGTAATCCCAACTACTTGGGAGGCTGAAGCAGGAGAATCGCTTGAACCCAGGAGGCAGAGGTTGCAGTGAGCCAAGATCACCCCACTGCACTCTAGCCTGGGCGACAGAGCCAGGCTCACTCAAAAAAAAAAAAAAAAAAGTGAGACAGATTGAGCCTGGAATATAATAGCTCAGGCATCATGAGCATGTTGGGGGCAGAAGAAAGAAAGATTGCCTAGGGAGGTAAGAAGGGCACGGTGAGAGGAGAAGAGGCCCAGGACCAGATTTCAGATACCAACAGCATTTAAGGGGCAGGTAAGGAAAACAAAATCATCAGCAAAGACTGAATGAAAGTTCAGAGGAAGGAAGAGCCACACATCCAATCAGTACAGCTCCATCTGTAGAGAGGTAGCCCCCCGCCCTGCCAAATAATTAGACAAATGCCTGAATCATGTTGTCTGTTGATGTGTTCTAAACACCTACTAGATGAAGGGGATAGCAATAAATAGGTTCCCTCTGTCTCATGCCCTTTCTTTGAGAGGCAGCTCTGACTGTGTGTTTCCTTTCTGGGGGTGCAGATACTTTCTGGACCAACCCTCAGTACCGTCTGAAGCTCCTGGAGGAGGACGATGACCCTGATGACTCAGAGGTGATCTGCAGCTTCCTGGTGGCCCTGATGCAGAAGAACCGGCGGAAGGACCGAAAGCTGGGGGCTAATCTCTTCACCATCGGCTTCGCCATCTATGAGGTGTGCAGTCCTGATCAGCTCCATCCCAGTAAATACACTTTCCCAGCAAGGACATTTCCAGGGGCTTCTAGAGGGGTCCTCTGGCTTCCTTAATACTCAGTGACCCCCAGAGCTGCTGGTATCAGGCCACTTGTGTTTTAGCAAGCAGAAAATACCAGGTGGGCATTGGAGTGGCAGTGAAGTGGGATTGGCAGGACGGGTATCTGGGGGTCAGGCTTCCGCATGTGTGCTGCAGTTGCTGGCATTCCCTTTTGCAAGCTCCTCATTCTCATTCAGATCTGAAGCATCTTCTTTTCTCTTTCTCCTCAAGGTTCCCAAAGAGGTATAGCAGCAGCAGCAGCCAGCAGTTGTGTGCAGCACTACCCAGGGGGGCCCGAGTCTGTGTGTGGCTCATCGAGAAGCTTCCTGGTGGGGTTAGTGGGCAGGACTGTGATAGGAGAGGGCCTTGCCCACGTTATTTCCACTGCAGAGCAGGTGACTCAGGGCATTGCATGACCTGTGACTACCACCCCCAGGATGTGTACTTTCTCCCTCATACCAGACACTCTGCGCATCTCACATACGCCTTCGCACACTCATCCTCCATGCTCACAGCCACACACATAGTCCCACAGACGTGTTCTGAGAGTAGCTGCCCGCTTGGGATGGAGGAATCACTTCCCTCAGAACCCAGCCAAGTCCTCTAGGCCTCCTTGGGGGTCCTTCCAGCCTGAGGGGCTTTGGAGCTGAGGAGCAGCTGTTCTGGTAAGTGTCCCTGAATGTGGGGATGACACAATTGCCATTCCCTCTGAATCGTAATGGAAAAGGAAGAGGAAGTGAGGTAGGGAGGCTATTTGAGGCCTTGGGAGTCAGAAGTAGGGAGGTTTAGACTGTGACATGGGTGACCAAGGAGTTGAGAAGGGACCCATCGCGGCAGCTGTGGGAGGACGGGGCATCCCTCCTGAGGCACTCAGGTCCCATGGGCTCTTCCATCTCTCAGATGCATGGGAACAAGCAGCACCTGCAGAAGGACTTCTTCCTGTACAATGCCTCCAAGGCCAGGAGCAAAACCTACATCAACATGCGGGAAGTGTCCCAGCGCTTCCGCCTCCCTCCCAGCGAGTACGTCATCGTGCCCTCCACCTACGAGCCCCACCAGGAGGGGGAATTCATCCTCCGGGTCTTCTCTGAAAAGAGGAACCTCTCTGAGTGAGTGCCAGCCCAGCTTTCCCACCTGTTTCTAAAACCTCGTATGGCCCACTCCAGAGGTTGAAGGCGTGAGGCAGATAGACACATCTCCTCCAGGGGTCCTGGGATACACTGACGAGCTGAACCTCTTTTGCTAATCCTGAGCCACTGCCACATTGCCCCATTAATTAGTTCATTCATCCATCCATCCATCCATTCATCCATCCATTCTGCAGATATTTTTTGAGCACCTACTATGTTCCAGGCACTCTCCTAGGCACCAGAGATAGAGTAGTGAAGTAAACAGAAAGAAATCCCTGCTTTCATGGAGCTTAATATTCTATCATGAGAAAATAATGGATAGGAAAAAATGTATGTAGCATGATATATCTGGAGAGGTGACATGGAGCAAAAATAAAGGGAAGAGGGATAGGAGGTGTTGGGGATGCTTGAAATTTTAGGTTAGCATGGCCAGGAAAGCCACATCCTGTCCCTCGCCACCATAGATGAGCTCATAGCCCCTGTCACTCTGATCTCTGTCCTTGGATCAGTCTCATCACCAGGTCCATGGGTAGGTGGCTGGGTCATGCATTTGCGGGGCTCTGAGCAACACAAGAACCTGCGTGCCTGGACTTGGCTGTTGGAGATAGTGCTGACATGGGGCTGGTTTCTGGGGTTGAAAGTGTTAAGTTTTGGGGGTTCTTTAGAGGCTGATCCTGACTTGGCCGCCCGGAAACCATGCACCAGAGCAAACCTTCCACAGGCTTCCTACTTGCTTCTGGTGACACTGAGACCCCATATGTCTGTGTTCCTCACAGGGAAGTTGAAAATACAATCTCCGTGGATCGGCCATTGGTGAGTGGTTCAGATCTTATATGTGAAAAGTCCAGAGGGTCCCCTTCCCTGACCATGCAGGGGACAGATGGTGCAGGGGAGACTGGGCACTGGCAGAGGGAATGGGAGTCTCGGCTATGCTGAGGAGTCCCTCCCTGGGATACAAATCCTGCTTGGCATGGCCGGAAGTAATGGGCCTTATGATCCAGGGGCCATTGAGTCAGTTCTGGGGCTGGGAAATATAGAAGAGGGTCCTGGGAGGGAGAAGCAATTTGAGCAGTCGGAGGGAACAAGGCCACAGGAAGGGATGACAAGAGCTGCAGCAAACACTGGATTCTGAGACTGGCTAACACTGGATTTCACCCATAAAAAAAGATAGTAAGCTGGCTCCGGACCTGGTGTCGACACCTGGATCCTCCACCAAACAGCGGGGTGACCCAGACAATTTCAATAGTCCCTCTCAGTTTCCTCCTCTGGAAAATAGGATAAAAATGTGCCTTGCAAGGCTTTTTTGAGGTTTAATCAATGAGATGATGTACGTGAAGTGTCTAGCACAGCATGAGCACTCAAACAGAGGTGCTTTTTCACATTTGACACCTTACAAGGTACTTTTTCCACGTGTTATCGCAATACTTGCAAGATTTCTGAGAGGTAGATGGGGTTATAATCCCTGGTTTTCAAGAAAGGAAGCAGAGGCTCAATGGGGTTGAATGAATTCTCCGAGTTCACACGGCTAGTTAAGTGGCAGGGGTGGAACTCACATCCAGACTCTCTGATTCGACAGGTTTTTCCTCACCTCCACACTGAGGCCAGCTCGGGCAATGAGAAGCCCAAAGTTCAAAGCACAGAGCAGTGTGTGTCGGGCTCTGTGTGTTGAGCAGTCTTGTGACTGCCATGGGACTTTGGGCTGTAATCAGTAAACAGTCCCTCATGCTCTGTGGGGATGACGTAGGCCAATGGGAGGACACATGCCCTTCTGAACTGCCTTCTGGGTAGTGACAGTCATGGTCATAATCCCGACCCTGTGCCAGTGCCAGGTCTCCAAGTGCCTTCTGAATGACCACAGGCAGTTGGTTTTAGTGGTAGGTGCGTGTGGGTCTGTTCTGGTCATCTGGATGCTAGTCATCGGTGTACAGTGTTGATCAGGACCTGCAAACTCAAAAGCTATGGGAGCTGGCACGTCACCTAACTGAGCAGAGCAGGCAGGTGCAGGGGTTTTGATGTCCCTGCACCAAAACAGTTGCCTGCAGTTCTCAACCAACATTTGGCTCCTGTTGAGAGTCAACAGGAATGGCAGGGCCTGGGGCAATCTGGAAGATGCAGGGAGCAGGACCTGGGCTCAGCTAATAGTAGCCATGGGGATTATAGGCCCAGGGCAGACTGGTACAGCTGCTGATTTTGCCAAAGAAAACCCCCCTATGTTAAATGTTTGCTCAAAGATTTTTTAAAAATATTCTGTAAGTCAAAAATTCAGTCAGGTCAGTTTGAGTGAGCCATGCTTTTGGTGTTTTAGTAACCAATTTCATTTTCTAAAAAAGGAAGAAAGGAAACCCTAGTCAGAAGATCCTTTTCCTTGCCATATGCAGTAACAGTAGATTATAAAAACAAAACCATAGCATTCACTGGTGTCTGAGCATGGAGAAGAAAGAATTCTCTTCTTCCTTCACCTTTGATGTCATTCAGATTTCTGGACCCCCAGAGCCTCACCCCAAGCTAAAGACCAGGATACAGGGAAGCCAAAAGCCACTGGCTGTTTTGGGAACTTGCTTTTCATTTACTCTGCATTTACTGTTTCCTTTTTTTATGCAGAAAAAGAAGAAAACCAAGGTGTGTGTGGGGGTAGAGAGCACAGTGTGTGTATGCATGTGTGTGTGTGTGTTTGTGCTTGTGTGTGATATGTACATGTGTTTGTGCTCATATGCATGCATGCACCAGACTTGCCTCTTCCTTCCCCCTCCTTCCCTGAGCTCCTGCTGGGGCCGAGCATGCAGTAATGGCAGCTAAGATTTGTTGGGGGAAGGCTACATGGCAAGCACTCTTCTAGGGGCTTTCCATGACTAATTCCATCCTCACAACAGCTCTATGAGATGAGTACTGTTAACTATCCCCATTTTCAGAAGGAGAAAAGGTACAGACAGATTGACTAACTTGCCCAAGACCACACAGCCAGGGAGTGGCAGAGCCAGTACTTAGAGCCAGGCAGTCTGGGTCCAGTCTGTGCCCTGAACCACAAGAGGCCATCATACACCATCAGATTTGGTGCTAGCATTTACAGTGGTGCCTGGTGGTGATGGGTCCATCACAGGTGTCCTCCAGTTACTGGCACTGGCCCAGACCAGAGCTGACTGCCACATTTCAGGCACTGCGCTTGGGGTAAAACTCTCTTTTGTCCCCACTTATAAAAGTATCTACAAAGAAGGTGCTCCATTTTTCCCTTTCACGGGTGAGACAGAATCAAAAAAATGCCCAAGGACACAGAACTAATGAGTGGGGAAAATGGAAGTGGATATGATGTCTGTTTGCTCCAAAGCCTGTATTTCCTGCCCTCTCTCTCTGGTGCCAGCCTCCTACACTTCAAGGCCTGTGTTGCCCAGACCCACACTCAGGCCTGCCAGTGTGTACCTGGGAGGGATGCTCCATGGCCATACCGTGTCCCTCCCACACATCCCCCTCAGACTGACCTCCATTTGCTCTGGGATCCCCACAAGCGTCAGCCGCTTGAGCAAGACACTTTGCTTAGAAGGTAGAGCAAGCCAGGGCCTCCGAGGCCTGCTGGGGAGCCATTTCAATGGGTCTGTCTGCTTGAGCTGTAATAGATGAGCAGCCTGGAAAGGCAGTGGCGCCTGAGCCTGGGTGGGCTGCTTCTCTGCCCTGAGAGGCTCTGCCTGCCTTGTTGCTCTCTGCACTGCAGCATCAACCCCCATCGCCTTGCCTTCCCCTGGCTTTCCCTATAGCTGCACTGCACCCACCAGTGTCCGTGCTACACGGCAGCCACTCCCTGCTCTTTTCATATCCTCGTCACTTGCATGAGCATGTCTTGAAAATATCCCGTTTGTGTCGCATCTTAAATGTTTTTGCAGTATGATTTTGCATTCAGTATCTCATTTGATCCCCACAAAAGCCCTATGAGGAAGGAGAGCTGGTTTTACTGTTACAGGGTGAGTAAACTGAGGCCAAAGAGGATATTTCTTATATGAGGGGCAGGGCTGGGATTCCGGCCTAGTGTTCTGACAGTTACCCACTGACCATGCCACTAATCTGTGTCTTTTTCCAATCTATACTTTGTAGAGTCCTAGAGGTTCCTTGGAGGTGCCTCAGTAGCTGCCATGGTGATGTGGGGTGCTGAGGGCAAACAGCTCTGTTATTAATCAGAGAAGCTCTGTTTTTAATGGCTTTATATACATGGTGTTTCTGCAGGAAATTTAATTTGAAAAATGTTTCCATCTGGAAAAAAAAGTCTACAAAATATTTGACAATCACTGCACTAGATCATGCTGCTTTTAGCATTCTTAACATTTCACATCTGAGCTATCATAACTCTACCATAAGGAGGGATGGAGTGGGTATGGGAAGATAAAAAACTGAAGTCACATGGCTTGTCAGTGGCAGAGATAGCGCTTGAACAGAGGTTGAAGAGCTCCCACCAGTTCTTTTTCTCTTCTCACTGGACAAAGCTGCTCCAAGAGAAAGGCTGCCCCAGTGTGCCTATTCAGACTGTAATCCTTGCTTCCTTCCTGCCCTCTCCCTACTTCCCTCCTCTCTCCAGCCCATCATCTTCGTTTCGGACAGAGCAAACAGCAACAAGGAGCTGGGTGTGGACCAGGAGTCAGAGGGCAAAGGCAAAACAAGCCCTGATAAGCAAGAGCAGTCTGCGCAGGTGTCTGAGCACGTGGCATGAATGGGAATGGCCAGCTCACTATGGGGGCTTCCTAAGGGCTTGGGAAACATGGCGGCTGCAGACTTCCCCAGGGGTTGTCAAACATCTAGAGGTTTGAATTTGTCCCACTCACCTTTTCTCTCAGCAAGTTTCCCTGAAATTTGGGATGCTGCTTGGGTGAATGTCCCAGGACGGGGGTTCCATCCTAGGAGTGGATGGCAGTCTGAGACTCCCATGAAGCCGATTCAGCCAGGACAGAGAGAAGGGGAGGCAAAGGCTGAGACAGAACCAGCTTGAGAGTGGAGGCACAACTCCTGTCTCCTGGTGTCGAGCTTTTCACAATAGAGGGATAAAGAATAGGAGCAGAAAAGCGAGGCTAACATCAGAACTGGGGTCCCCTTGAGCTCACAGGAGGGGAGAGCTTAGTAGAGGTTAGCCTTAGGGGCAAAAGTCTCCAGATGAATCCAGGGCCTTCCTTTTATCTGGGGCACTTGTGCAGTGGGGCCTAGGGGAGGTTCTCTGAGGACTTGGCCTTGATGACAGAGGTGGCCAGAGGAATCAGAACAGTCAGACCTTCTTTGACCTGAGGGCATCTTTTGTTGGAATGGTCAGGCCTGGGACAGTGGAGAGGGCTCTAGCAGGTGGGGACTGGGGTCGGGGTGAGGAGGCTGTCTATGTCTGCATGGCTGCCACAGCTCCTTTGGCTAGGGGAGTCAGGGCTGGAGAGGTGTGGAGTGCAGAGTCACTGAAGCTTCGATGCCTCTCACTCTGGCTCCCAGGTCTGCATTGGCCCCTGTCCCCAGCTCTTACTGCCACCTCCAGTCATTTTAGGTACTTGGCTCCCTTGGCCCAGAGGACCTTGCTTCATAGGCCAGTCCACCTCTGACCCCTGTGAACCAGCTTTTCTTTGTGCCTCCACAGCCACAGCCTGGCAGCTCTGACCAGGAAAGTGAGGAACAGCAACAATTCCGGAACATTTTCAAGCAGATAGCAGGAGATGTGAGTACCTCCAAGCCCAGGATGCCCACAGGTGCTTCCTTCTCTCCTGGATTAACTGCTCAGATTGCCAGTTATTTTGTTACTGTTTGGTAGAAGTCATTTTGGACTTTGGTGGAGCAAGGGGATGTGTGTGTAGCACACAAATCCACAAGCCCTTAAGTTTTGGACTGCCACATTCACTGGGGGGCTCAGAGGCCTTTTTGCTCTGATCTGCCCATGGCAGTCTTGATAGCTGAGGTGCAGTATCTGGCCCCTCCCCCATCTTCCTCAGAAAAGCCCCAGCTTCCTAAGACATAATAGCACTGACAGGGATTTTACAAACGCAGCCTGCTGGAATTTTGTTTAGCAAAGCGTCTGTGCCAGCAGCTGCTGTACTGGTGAACTATGGCCCTCCTCTCCTTTCCTCCCCAGGACATGGAGATCTGTGCAGATGAGCTCAAGAAGGTCCTTAACACAGTCGTGAACAAACGTGAGTGGCTCAAACCAAATGTAGGGGGTGGGTAAGGAGTCCAGTTGTCTCAAAGCAGCTCCTCACTCTTCTCCATTCCCTCAGACAAGGATCTGAAGACACATGGGTTCACACTGGAGTCCTGCCGTAGCATGATCGCGCTCATGGATGTATCCTTCCTGCCACCCCTTCCCCACCTTCTGCCATCAGCCCATGGACACCAAGGAAACATAGAGGGTGCCCAGTCAGGCAAAGGACACTAATTTGTGCCCAGAGTAACACTTAAGAAGCCCCTGATTCAGAACATCTTGGCTCCTCTTCTGAAAGGGCTTGTTAGAGGCAGAAGAGGAAGACATTGGGTTGTAACTGCCCTAACGACTGTGTTTCTCTCAAGCCTGGATCTGCCCAATCAAAAGTGGTCCTTAGGAGTCAGGCTCCCTGGGTTACAGAGTAGGCAGAGTCTCTGACTGATGGAGGAGTGGAGGGGAGGGTTAAATACCACGACAGGGAAGAGGGTAGGACAGCCCAGATGGAGTCTCTTAGACACCCACTCCCAATCCAGGAGGATTTTGCTATGTGCCTTGTAGCCCTGACCTCCCTCCTCCAGACAGATGGCTCTGGGAAGCTCAACCTGCAAGAATTCCACCACCTCTGGAACAAGATTAAGGCCTGGCAGGTGGGAAGAGAAAATGAAGTATGGGAGTGAATAATGGGGTTGATCTGGAGATTCAGTGTATGACTGCCATCCTCAAATTTTCTATTGCCAGAAAATTTTCAAACACTATGACACAGACCAGTCCGGCACCATTAACAGCTACGAGATGCGAAATGCAGTCAACGACGCAGGTGCGGTGAAGGAAGTAGTGACAGGGATGTGGACCCGAGGCAGTGGGATCAGCAATGGGAGGGGCCTAGGCTACTAGGGCCTCACAAGAGAAAGGAGAGGGAAGGGCTTCTCATTTTCCCTTCCCAGGCCACAGGGTGGCCGAGGGGCAAGGAAAATAGAAGGCAGACTCAAGGCCTCCAGCTCCACCTCCACCTCTCACATGGTCCCCTTCACAGGATTCCACCTCAACAACCAGCTGTATGACATCATTACCATGCGGTACGCAGACAAACACATGAACATCGACTTCGACAGTTTCATCTGCTGCTTCGTCAGGCTGGAGGGCATGTTCAGTAAGTGGGGGAGGGGGGCTGCTCTCTGGTCTCTTGATCCCTTCAGCCCCCACCCACAGAGACAGTTGTCACAACAAGCATCTCACCTGATAATCTCTAGTCTGCTCCATACAGGCTGAACAAGGGCCAAGGCCCTCTTTAGGGCCAGAATGGGATGGCAAAGGGAGGGTGACTGGCAAGTCTCCGCCTGCAAATCTTTGTGCTGATGAGGGCCAGCACTGGGCACATCGTCTTCTTCAGGAAAGTTACAGTAGTAGAGGCGGAGTGTGCCTAGAACTGGCCTCTGCCCTGTGCATTCTTTCACAGGAGCTTTTCATGCATTTGACAAGGATGGAGACGGTATCATCAAACTCAACGTTCTGGAGGTAAAGCACAGACACAGCACATTCCCCCTACACATTAAAACTCAAGGTGGAGGAATCAGCAAGGCAGACTGGACCCACATTGCATTCCTCATTTCCACACCGTGGTGGAGGGAAGGGATAAGAACAGAACATGGAGGGAGAATCAGCGAGAAATGTGGCTTACAGGACACATGCACTCGAGGCCCAAAGGGACCTCAGCTCCCCTAACTTTATGATGGAAAACATGTACCTTCTTAGGGAAGATCTAGGAGAAAGGAAACAATAAGCCACTGTTTCTTGAAAAATCTTCCAAGGGTCTGACCTGCGGGACTGTTCCCTTTCCCCTTGCCCCGTAAGATTCCTAGGGCTGGGGGTCACTCTTGTTGATCTAAATTCTGATCTTAGGACTTCCTCTTTCAGTGGCTGCAGCTCACCATGTATGCCTGAACCAGGCTGGCCTCACCCAAAGCCATGCAGGATCATTCAGGATTTCCATTTCACCCTCTATTTCCAAAGCCACTTATCTCAAAGGACCCAGCAGCTGCATCCCTGGAGGCCTCCAACCACCTCATCAGTCCTGTTCCTCCTCCATTTTACCCCCCTACCCATCCTTGATCGGCCGTGCCTAGCCTGTCCAAAGCTTTAGTAAAGCAATGAGGTAGGAAGAACAAACCGTTGTCCCTTTGCCAGGTGTAGGAAAGTGCCAGCTCTGGTCCAAGCTGCCTTGGCTCTGAAGCAAGTGCTGCTTATCTTGCTTTAGGCTGTCTGCAGAAGCACCTGCCACTGGCACTCAGCACCTCCTTGTGCTGGAGCCTCCATCACCTTCATGCTCTCCCACCACGGGCCAGGAACCAAACCAGCACTGGGTTCTTCTGCCTAGTTATTTTAGGAGAGGCCTGCTGTGGCGTAAACTCACTCATTGGAATAGGGCTGGTTACTTTGGGCTGTCTGACTCGTAAGTTTGGCTGCATTCTGAAAAAAGCTGATCTAAATAAAGGCATGTGTATGGCCCCTTGTGTTTTGTTCTCTCACATTTAGATATCAGCCATAGCATGACTGAACAGCTTCCAATCATACACTTACCCATTACCTAGAAGAGAACAATGAAAAACACACACAAAAACAAAATCCTGAACCCCTGCTTTAATCATGCCTATTGCTATCTCTTGAGCATAGGAATTGCTCAGATACTTTCCAAGACATAAAAGGAAGGCAGAGGAATAGCTGTTGCTGTAAAAGACAAGAATAAATGGATCATGTACAAGGGGAGGGGCCAGTTACCTGAATGTAACAGAGTAGAGATTGAGCTGTCCTAGCTCCTCTGCTCACTAACTGACCTGTCACATGACTGTGGACAAAACTCTGAACGAAGCTGTTTGCCAAACTTATCTGAACCATGGCCTGTGGCACATCTATAGGCGTCTTATGTTTTCCACCCAATTTCCTTCTTCCTTGCTAAGCCAATGTGGAAAGGGTTGACTGTGAATATGCAGAGAAGGTAACAAAAGTAAACAGTCAATTAGTAAAAGTACTTTATTTTCCTCTTGTATTTGCTTTATATCTTGCTTTACAAAGTTATGAAGTTCACAGCTTTATATCAAAATGTAAGAAGGCTATTTGCTTATAAACATTTTTGCAGTCAGGTGTCATCTGATTTCATTCTTCTAATCCATATTCAATATTTAAAAAGTCAGAAACCAAGGGTGCTGGAGCAGCTCTAGGGCATATATTTCTCTTAGATAGGAGAAAGATTTTCAACAGCTTTTCCTCCTTGACCCCCTCCTCTCCCAATTTATTTGGGCCACTACCTTGAATTTAGAGTGAATCTGGGAAATTTAGTCACCATGTAATCCAACAGGGCCATATACTTTGGCTTGAAGGTGAGGTTAGAGGTTACTGTCTAATAATCAGTAGGTTTGGTTTATATGAGGATTTTACATCCACTTGCATAAGGAACTCAGTCTATCCCAAATCACCTCTACAACAAACCCGAGGAACCTGATGATTTGGGGCAGGGATAAAACCATTATTTTATAAATGTGGCAGGTATGGTCTTCATAATTCTAGAAGCTCCCATTTAGGTAACAGAAACAAAATTTATATGTAAGCATAAACTGCAGTTATTTGAGCAAACCAGAGCGTATTTGCTCTTCAAATCCCACTTCACAATATACTTCAATATCCCCTCCAGTGAATTCTCTTCCATAAAATATACCATTCCACTAAGTATATAACCTACTCCTACCAAATCATCCACATGCCTCATCACTAAAGTTGTCTGCTGTATAATCTACCAGAAAAAAAGACAAAATAAAACCTTTGTTAGGCAAATAATCACTTAAACAGTAATAATATTGCCTATAAATTATGGGTAAGTCAGGAGCTGAACAATCCACTGTTATCTCTTCTGGGGAAGAAAAAATTTTACCCACAAAAGCAGAAGGGCAGTAGTAAGTAATGACTTTCTCTCAAATTCAAGTAACATCAAGTCAACATAACCTTTGCTCTTAAGAGTTTTGTTTGCATTGTGTTGAATTGCTTTATAACTGAGTAGAGAGGCATGCCAAAATTATTTTTAACCTAATTAAAAACTTTCACATAAAACTTAAGTGACTGATCCTTTATCAGAACAAACTGCCACTTAAACACTAGCATAAGTACACAAAGTGTTTATGCTATGGTTTTCTTGACTTTGAACCATTAGAAATAGGCAAAAGCAATTGAAAATAACATTCTAAAAGTGGCTTCAACTACTTGAAAGACATGAGTCAGTTTCTGTCAGGTCATTTAATGGTTTCCTTACTTCACAAAGCTACTAAATACCAGAGTCAACACAGATCCCTGAGCCCTAGCTCTTCTCTGAAGGGAAAGACGGCTACAATCAGTCACAACATTGTGGAAGAGATTAAAAAAAAGAAGCCAAAGTCCTGCATAATTTTCAAGACACTTGTAAGTTAATAACACACAACCATAAGCAGCCAAAATGCTTATGGTCCCTTTATTTCTTAACAGAGGGCTAGAACGGTTCATTTTGGCTAATACACTAATCTGGTATTAAAAGAATTTCACATGTTCTTGAAACAAAGGCATTACTGCCACTGCTTCAAAAAAAAGCCTTTATAAAATGAAGAAAAATGACAAGTACAGGTTCCCACGCATATACATACATACAAAGGAACCTGCACACTTGCACACACACAGGCAGATATAGGCACACAGTCCCACCAAAGCGAAATCCAAATCAGAGTTCTTACTGACTCTACCAGTCTGGAATACTCTCAAAAGTTCCCCACAACTGCCCAACACCTCGCCTATCCCTTTCCTGCTGCACAAAGCCATGCTCATCTTTTCAGAAATACCCTCAGGCAGGGTAGAAGGGCACTATGCCACAGAACATTCAAGGCTTTCTTAGCACGCTGCCAGGCAATGAGAAAATGCAGCTTCACTACAGCACAGAGAAAAAGGCCAGGTTTAGTCATTAATCCAAATGCATTTTCCCAGGAAATGACCATTCCCAAACCCACAGAACAGCCTGGCTTCTCTGGTTATCCTTATAGGAAATGAGGGTGAGAGGTGGGAAAAGCTTCTTAATTTCATACAGAAATAGCACAAATATTTAATACACCTTTTGCAGCAAGATCTTCTTTGTTCTCCATTAAGCATCACGTAAAACTCACTAATGTAGTTAACAAAATGGCTTTCCCCAAGGACAGAAGTCAAGAGCTTTTGGGGCCATTTATTATATAGTAGTAGGCCATTCATTATCTCCTAGATTAACTCTTTTTTTTTTTCTTCTTGAGGTAGAGTTTCGCTCTGTCACGAGGCTGGAGTGCAGTGGTACAATCTCGGCTCACTGCAACCTCTGCCTCCCAGGTTCAAGCGATTCTCCTGCCTCAGCCTCCCGAGTAGCTGAGATTACAGGTGCCCACCATTTCACCCGACTAATTTTGGTATTTTTAGTAGAGACAGGGTTTCACCATGTTGGCCAGGCTGGTCTAGAATGCCTGACCTCGAGTGTTCCTCCCGCCTTGGCCTCCCAAAGTGCTGGGATTATAGGCGTGAGCCACTGTGCCTGGCCTCGTATATTAATTCATAACATTTTCTGAATCAAGTAGGATTATAGGCGTGAGCCACTGTGCCTGGCCTCGTATATTAATTCATAACATTTTCTGAATCAAGTAAGACCCACTGGAGATTTTCCTGGAAAAAAGAACACATACTTAGTCTCATACACAATTTCTGGGGGCTTGCAGACCCTCTTGAAGCCTCTCGATGAATCCCGGGTGAAGTCCCCTTGCCTGAGAGCCTGAGGGAAGACATGTGAGTGAATGTGTGTGCACTAACCGGGGTGAAGACAGACCTGGATGCTCTGCAATCCCAGACAGCAGAAAGGACCATGTACCAAAGCTTGGGATGTGGCCTTGGGTACCTCCCCCTTATTTTCTCTCTCTGAAGAAGGTTTCTAAGTTGTCTGGTTGTTTGAGACAGAGTATTGCTCTGTCATCCAGACTGGAGTGCAGTGGCTCCATCTAGCTCACTTGCAACCTCGGCCTCCCTGGTTTAAGTGATTTTCCTGCCTTAGCATCCTGAGTAGCTGGGATTACAGGTGCCTGCCATCAAGCCCAGCTCAATTTTGAATTTTTAGTAGAGACAGGGTTTTGCCATGTTGGCCAGGCTAGTCTTGAACTCCTAGCCTTAGGTGATCTGCCTGACTCAGCCTCCCAAAGTGCAGGGATTACAGGCATGAGCCATCACACCCAGCCACTTTCTGAATTTTGAGGATCCAGAAACAAAAGATTGGAAAGCAACACTTCTACAAGTTTAGTGATGAGTCCAGAGAAAATCCAAAAACAAAGGCCCCCTGACGGTTTGTGAATTTGGCTGTTCTCAGTGGCCAGGCAGAGATTCTGCTCCACTTTCTTTCCCAGTTAGCAGGGAAGTGACGGCAAAGAAATGGTCTCAGAAACAAGTCTCTAAGAAGTCTGCTTGAGGTCCTAAAAACTGTATTCAGATGCCTTATTCTTTTTTTTGAGACGGAGTTTCGCTCTTGTTACCCTGGTTGGAGTGCAATGGCGTGATCTCGACTCATTGCAACCTCCGCCTCCTGGGTTCAGGCAATTCTCCTGCCTCAGCTTCCTGAGTAGCTGGGATTAACAGGCATGCGCCACCATGTCCAGCTAATTTTTTTGTATTTTTAGTAGAGACAGGGTTTCACCATGTTGACCAGGATGATCTCGATCTTTCGACCTCGTGATCCACCCGCCTCGGCCTCCCAAAGTGCTGGGATTACAGGCTTGAGCCACTGTGCCCGGCCTCAGATGCCTTATTCTAACCCCTCTCCCTCACCATTTTGGGTGCTGCAGGGGGGTGGAAAAACACCCTGTGAGTCCAGAGGAAAACTTGATGGTTGCCATCAGTCTAGGCACAGCCACACAGCAGGAGAGATGGAGGTTAGCAACTGAACAAACCAAAAGGGTTGAAGCCAACATGAGGCTTGCAGGGTCAGACACTAGAAAGGAAGATAAAGGTAACACCTCCAGTTCCAACAGCCTGATAGGATCTGTAGCAGGGAGTGCCAGGTTCAACAGCAAACGTAAAGGTAGACATTAGGTCTATGCACTGCCTCACACTGAGCTTTCTATCCACATTTATAGACGTTTACTAGGAAGTGGTATCTATAAGGACTTGTCACTATGTGATTTGCTTTCTGAATTCCTAAAATATAGTCAGCAGAGCAGCCACTGTTTGTCAAAAATCTACCGTGTCCTTTAGCACTTAAAGCCAGCTCTGTCCATCTATAAAGCAAAAAAACAGTGACATGCACTGCACATAATTGTTAAGAAAGAAAACTATTTGCTTCCAATTTAAATACCCAGCTATTACAAATGGAGAAATTAAAACTGATCCTGAAAGTCTAGCACTTTAACAAACTTGTACTTAAAAGCCTGACTACAGGTTTAAACCATCATAAGAACATAAACTAAAAATTGCAAACTGAAATCAATAAAATATACATTTGATTAGGGTCAAACTGGGTAACCAATTAGGTTCTGTATCTTTAATAAACATCTGGAGAACGCTAGTAGCATAAATCACTATATGCCATACTGTCCCAGAGGAGTATGGTTCCTTAACATCTGTCTAAATCTGTTTAAAATCTCCAGCAAGAACTTAAAAGGGTCATCTATTATCCCATAGAGCTGCCCAGACTTATGCTAGGGGTAAGCCTGACTAATAACCACTTTCTCCTTCCTTGTTTCACTGGGGAAGGGAAGAGAGTGGCCTGTGTGTGGGGCCGATGTGAAAATAGTTCAACTAATGACTTCCCAACATGGGAGGCAAAAACTTCATGAATCAATTTTGCTGTCATCTTCAGCATGTCGTTCAATATGTCCTGCAGCATCCTAGGAATGAAGGGAAAAGGGCCCATGAGAGAAGCTGGTAGGAAGACAGGAGAAAGTCAAAGCCAAGGAAAGTCACATAAGTCCATTCCATCTAGGATCCAGGCAGGAAAGGCAGTTAGGAGCCAACACTTTGCTCACTTATAGGAAACCATGTCCTTACAGGTGAACTGTTGTCCCAGCACAACAGCACACTAATCAATCTCCAGGTTCAGTTACTGGATTTGAAACATCCGAAAACATTCTCTTTAGGCCCTTTCTCAACAAAAACAACCTAATTCTTCATTTTGAAGTTCATTTAGCTACCCCTCAAATCTTTGAATCAAAAAAAGAAAAAACTCTAGGCTCTCTCTATGTATTGCAATTCTCAATAATAAAACAAAAAAGGTTTCCTAGTCCATACCCTGAGCAGGCTACTGAATCCCAGGCGAACCTCAATCCCACTAATGTACCTGTTTGGATCCTTTCCTAGCAGTGAAAAAAGCATCGCAGTTCTTCCAGCGACATTTCAGAGTCTGGAAGTTCGGATTAGTATGGTCGGTCAGTAAGTGCTGTTTTAAATGTTCAACAACGCCAAATATCAGAGAGCAACCATGCCACTGGAGAAAAAGAAGATGAGGGGACTCAGTGAAAAAGGGTACAGTGAATGTGAATCAAATCATCCCTCACCTGGATCCCATAAATACTATGAAAGCAAAACCAGCCCCTTGCTTTAAATGAATTCTTGGCTAGAAAATACAACAAAGCTAAGGCAACCTTGAAAAGACTGGAAAAGTCTTTTAATACTTTGGTATTTTCAGAAGATAAAGCACTAACATAGCAATGGCAACTTGTTAAATCCAGCAAATATTTATGAATAAATTACCTTAAAATTCCCTTTAAACAATATTCTTTATGTTGCCATCATAAAATGGAGTTTCTATCTTAGTTTATTCAATACAAAAGGCAAATACCTTTCCCATAATACTAGAAGGATTTTTGTTTTGAGATGGAGTTTCACGCTTGTTGCCCAGGCTGGAATGCGTGGCACAATTGCAGCTCACTGCAACCTCCACCCCCCAGGTTCAAGCAATTCTCCTGCCTCAGTTTCCCAACTAGCTGGGATTATAGGCATGCACCACCAACCCCAGCTAATTTTGTAATTTTTTTTTTTTTTTGGTAGAGATGGGGTTTGACCCATCTCTTTTTTGGTAGAGATGGGGTTTGAGATCTCAGCTGGTCTCAAACTCGTGACCTCAAGTGATTCGCCCACCTCAGCCTCTCAAAGTGCTGCGACTACAGGTGTGAGCCAGACCAAAAGTGCTGTTTTTAACAATTCTAAGAGCTGTTGAATGTAAACTTGAAAATAAAAATGTCTGATAAAGAAAACCACATTTGTGGAAACATTTATTGTAGAATACTGTTTGCCATGGAAGCCTGACTTTACTCATAGCCTTTATCACTTGAATCGCAATCTTATGATTACCTACTTATTTTTTAAGCTGTGATTTTACTTATAAATGTGGCTTAATTTCATGTATTAGAAAACATAAGCTAGGGTCATGCTTTCTAAGTGGTGGTTAGTGGGATTACACAGCTGTAATCCCAGCACTTTCGGAGGCCGAGGTGAGTCGATCACTTCAACCCAGGAGTTCAAGACCAGCCTGGGCAACATAGTGAGACCCTGTCTCTCCAAAATAAAAAAAATACAAAACTTAGCTGGGCATAGTGGCACATGCCTGGAGTCCCAGCTGCTAGGGAGGCTGAGGTGGGAGGATTGCTTGAGCCCAGGAGGTTGAGGCTGCAGTGACTATTGTGATCACACTACTGCACTCCCGCCTGAGTAACAGAGCAAGACCCTGACTTAAAAAAAAAAAAAAAAAGAAAAGAAATGAAAAACAAGAAAGCATAAAGACTCCCTCTGTCTTGGCTTTTCCCTACAGGTTTGTTGGTAAAGCCTTGTGATTCTAATTCTAACACGTTTATTTTTTCAAAGTAATGCAAAGTTAACTTTTTCCTCTGTCAGTACTACTCCATCCCTCTGTCTATAGAGCCAGAAGTATCTTCCCCATTTCTCTGTATAGATTAACTCTATTTGTGTACTCTGGATCCTGTCTTTCAGTAATGCCTCTTTATCCATGGTTTCACTTTCTGAGGTCTTAGTTACATATGGTTAACCATCTTCAAAAACAATATTGGAAAACTCCCAAAATAAACAATTCTTGAGTTTTAAATTGCACATTATTCTGAGCAGTATGATGAAATCGCATGCCATCCCACTCCACCTCGCCCAGATGTGAATTGTACCACTGTCCAACATATCTATGCTATATTCACTACTACCTATTAGTCACTTAGCCTTTTTGATTATCATATCAAAAAAACAGACTATATCCCCCTCGGATAAGGAGGAACTGTACTAGATTTTCCTTACCTTCACTGAGAAAATTAAAAAGCAATGATAGGCCAGGTGCGGTGGCTCACGCCTATAATCCCAGCACTTTGGGAGGCCGAGGCGGGTGGATCACGAGATCAAGAGATCGAGACCATCCTGGTCAACAAGGTGAAACCCCGTCTCTACTAAAAATACAAAAATTAGCTGGGCATTGTGGCGCACGCCTGTAGTCCCAGCTACTCAGGAGGCTGAGGCAGGAGAATTGCTTGAACCCAGAAGGCGGAGGTTGCAGTGAGCCAAGATTGCACCATTGCACTCCAGCCTAGGTAACAAGAGCGAAACTCTGTCTCAAAAAAATAAAAATAAATAAAAAGCAATGATAGTAATGTGTAAACAGCTGAAAAGTCAATAGGCTGTGGACAAGTGTAAAGTCAAATTATAAAATGGAGAGTGTCAAGTTCATGCCCTCAGTGCTGAAAAGGATGTTAGAGTTTGGAGGAAACGCTACCATTATTAGAACTGATGAAAAAAAATTAAGGCTTAATTAAGAAACAGTGTAAAAGTTGTTTTTTTGTTTGTTTGTTTTGTTTTGCTCTTGTTGCCCAGGCTGGAGTGCAATGGCATGATCTCGGCTCACTGCAACCTCTGCTTCCCAGGTTCAAGCGATTCTCCTGCCTCAGCCTCCCAAGTAGCTGAGATTAGAGGCATGTACCACCAAGCTCGGCTAATTTTGTATTTTTAGTGGGAGAAGGGGTTTCTCCATGTTGGTCAGGCTGGTCTTGAACTTCCAACCTCAGGTGATCTGTCCACCTCAGCCTCCCAAAATGCTGGGATTATAGGCATCAGCCACCGCACCAGGCCTTAGTGTGAAAGTTTTAAGGGTTAATCATCAGTTCTTACCCCAAAATAAAAGTCACACAATTCAGCCAGATAAACTGAAGTTTAGAACTTATACAAGATCATAAATTTTTTTATTTGCCTATTCCTCAAAAACTAATGAGGACACAAACCAAACCATTAACACTAGTAATCTCTGATGAGTGGGAGCAGTAGAGGTGGCAGTGCCATTACTGAAATCAGCACTCCCACTTTTTATTTCATGTATTTCTGTATTGTTGTTTTCTAAGCATGTATTGATTTTATATTAAAACAAAACAACCATGTAGGAGACAACCTGTGATCTACATTGTAAGGCATAAAGTAGATGCTAAAATATAAAAACGCTACATTGATGATAATGAAGACCTATCAATTAGCCTAGGGTGAAGCAACCTCTAAAAGTTCAGTGCAAGAAGAGTTTCACTCCTTACCCAACAGCGGAAATTCTGCATCAGATTAAGCCTCACAGCCTGAATACTGCCATCATAACAGCCAGTGTAAATCTGGAGAAAGAGAGGTTTATAATATCAGTCCAAAATACACACAAACTACAAAACACTCTCAAAGCACGAGTCATAAGCTCCTTGCAGCAGCTACAAGAAAACAAAAACCTAAATCAAAACCAGCTCCAGACTACTAGAATGGGAAAGTATTTTCCAGATTTAGTCTTGGCATTTTTCAGCTGTGTTTCTTAGAAAGCCAGTCAGGATCAGGGCAGAGAGGAGTGGCAGTGCTCAGAAGCACCTGCTTATACTTTATACTTTAACTGGGGAAGCCCTAGTTTCTATCAGGTACTCTATGTTAAGCACCTGTAATTCACTGGAAAAGAAAGCGTTCCACTCAGAGTTTGAAAAACATCCATTCTGGTTCAACTCCATAACTTTAAAATAAAATAAACAAGGCTTAGCAAGGTTATGTGAGTTAGTTTCTACTTTTAGATCTGCTATAACTATGCCACACTGACCAAATCTCCTGACGCCATCCCAGTGTTCTATTCAGATCATGTCTCTGGAAAATGCACCACTCAATTTTTTTGAAGCATTTTAAATTTACCTTCTATTTAACTATAGTTGACATTACCATTTTTATTGTAATAATTTTGGCTATTAATAGAAAATGGAATATTCAACACTGTCCCCTGGTTACTTCCCTATTATGCCAATAGATGATAAGGTACTTAATACTGAGGCATATCAGAAGCAGATGTCACTTTTAGAAGTGGCAAGAGTTTTTTAGTAAATACATTCAAAAGCAAATATCTGACATGGCAAATAATACTCACCATGCTTTTATGGATGGTCATACACATAATCATGTCTTTGTGTCCTCCATAAACTTGTAGCCGATCATGAGACTTAGGCAGAAAAAAGAGAAAGAGAATACAAGTTATATATACCTTGCATTTGATAAGCACAGTCCCTAAAGGCCTTTGGCAGGTTTAAAAACCATACCTGAGGTGCTAAGTTGAAGTCCTTGTAGCATTCTAACAGAAATAGAATCTAATGGCAAATTTTCTTTTATGTCCTACTACTCAAGGAAGGAGCTGGTTATCAGAAGTAATAAAATCAATTTTGTTAGAATCAGAGTTTTAAACTTGAAATTGTACACAAGGAGAACTAGACAGGTTTGTTTATTTATTTATTTATTTTGAGATGGAGTCTCACTCTGTCACTAGGCTTGAGTGCACTGGCGGGATCTCGGCTCACTGCAATGTTCACCTCCTAGGTTCAAGTGATTCTCCTGCCTCAGCCTACAGAGTAGCTGAGACTACAGGTGCGCACCACCGCATCTAGCTAATTTTGTTGTTTTTTTTTTTTTTTTTTTAGTAGAGACAGGGTTTCACCATGTTGGCCAGGATGGTCTCAATCTCTTGACCTCATGATCTGCCCATCTAGGCCTCCCAAAGTGCTGGGATTACAGGCGTGAGCCACCATGCTCGACCAGTGGACAGGTTTTAAAAGACTGGAGCTGCTCTCCAGAAATTAAGTTTTGACACCCATGACTCAGATCAAGTATCTTAGAGCAGTTTCTGAAAGTCGGGCCAGCTATTTCATAATTATCTAGAATGCTTGTGAAAAGGCAGATTCCTGGGTTCCATCCCACCTGACTGTATCAAAAATCAACACTAAACCCAAATAGACAATCTCCCCAAATCATTCAAGCAAAATACTGAATCTAAACTCTACCTGTAATTCATAGACACGAACAAATTTGTCCAGGCAAGCAGTCACCATCACTTTTCCTAGGATATTCACCACAGTCACTGCATGATTGTGACCTTTATAGATCCGCACAAGCTCACCAGTCTATGTCAGAAGAGAAGTAAGGGTCACTAGATTCACTTTCCAGATTCCTTCCTAGTTATAATTCTATAATTCTAAGAGGCATAATTCTGAGTATATTGTACACATACATCATTGTGTTAACTTTAATAGAAGTATCCCACAAGCATTGTTACATATGCAAAATATATGAATTGTATCTTAATGGAGAGACTCTAATGTCACGCAAAGAAAATGGCCAATATTCTATCTGTATGTATTTTATAGCCTTCAAAGTACTTTTACTTTTTTCATTTCACTGGATCTAGACAAGTTCATCAGTTGGGAATATTCTAAAATTTACAGACCAGGAACTGAGCTTTAAAAAGCTGCTGCTATGAGCTAAGAATAGTCTCTCAGCTGTTTCCGTTGTTCAGTTTTTTTAAGAGATGGGGTCTCACAGGCCAGGCACAGTGGCTCATGCCTGTAATCCCAGCACTTTGGGAGGCTGAGGTGGGCAGATCACTTGAGCTCAAGAGTTCAAGACCAGCCTGGGCAACATGGTGAGGCTCCCCCAAAATACAAAATACTACAAAAAAAATTAGCCAGGCATTGTGGCAATGCCATTAGTCCCAGCCACTTGTGGGGCTGAGGTGGGAGGATCCCTTGAGCCTAGGAGGTTAGGCTGCAATGAGCCAAGATCATACCACTGCACTCCAGCCTGGGTGACAAAGTGAGAACTCCATCTCAAAAAAAAAAAAAAAAGAAAAAGAAAAAAAAGAAAGAAATAGGGTCCCACTTGGTCACCCAGACCAGAGTGCAATGGTGTGATCATAGCTCACTGCAGCCTTGACCTCCTGGGCCAAACAATCCTCCCACCTCAGTGTGCTGAGTAGCTAGGATTACAGAACACACTGCCATGCCCAGCTAATTAAAAAAAAATTTTTTTTGAAAAGACGGGGCCACTATTTTGCCTAGGCTGGTCTCAAACTCCTGGCTCAAGTAATCCTCCTGCCTCAGCCTTCTGAGTAGCTGGCATTACAGGTGACAGCCACTGCAACCTGCTCTCAGCTGTTTTTACTAGTTCTATTTTAACTAGGTATCACATCCACTTTCTAAAAGCCTTAGCTGCTCAGTTTATTTCACGTTTAAATGAGGCATTCAAACTAAACCTTACATAAACTTTGAGTCTGTCCACCATTAAAAACTTTGATGAAGTAGAATTTCTAGGTTGCTCAATATTACATAAGAGCATATGCATAGGGATGATCATGAATCCCTTCAGTGGATAAAGGGCTTAATTTAAATTGCAAGAGGTTTAAGAAAACCTTCCAGCTTTAACCATCATTTTATTCAAGGTTTCTTTACACAACACCAACATAACTTACGTGAATGTTGTGGGCATGGACTGACTGATCACTGGAGCCACTGAACACAAGATCATTGACCACCTGAAAGAAAAAAAATCAGTAAGTCAGATTCCTTATAAGGTTCTCAATTTCCTGTATAACTTGTAATACACGTGGCAAATTCTAATTTCCATCCTATTTTGAGATGAGCATGATGAATGAGGTACAAAATAAGTTTCTCAGACAAATTTTCTCAGCTGAAACTTACACCCTCCCACCAGGCACGCTAATGAACTGACGACATATTCTTACGTCTCTTACCTTTCCAGAATTATTATGAAGTAGCCTAGAAGGGCGTTTGAGTATACCCACACTGTAACAAAATACACTCTTACTGTTTCTCAAATGAAAGTATATTACTTGGTGTTGCAGGTGTAAAGAAAAGGTTAGCAATCTCCTTGCTCTTTTCAAGGTGGTGTTTCTATATTACGCATGAAACAACAAGGGAAATGCCATTCAAAACCCTTCTTTGTTTTGTTTTGTTTGTTTGAGTCAGGGTCTCACTCTGTTGCCCACACTGGAGTACAATGGTACAATCATGGCTCACTGCAGCCTCAATCTCCTGTGCTCAAGTGGTCCTTCCACCTCAGCCTTCTGAATAGTACAGGTGCGCACCACAACAGCCCAGCCCGCTAACCTTTGTATTTTTTGTAGAGATGAAATTTTGCCATATTGCCCTGGCTCATCTCAAACCTCTGAGCTCAAACGGTCCTCCTGCCTTGGCCTCCCAAAGTGCTGGGACTACAGACATGAGCCATCCTGCTCGGCCTCAAAATTGTTCTCTTGTGCCGGACAACTCCTATTCTATTGCACTGTACTTGCCTTCATGCAAAGAATGGTTTTGCTGTGGCCCTCCAGAGTTCTGAGAAGCAGCCCATTCCGTGCATCACGTACACTGATGGTACAGTCATAAGATCCCACCACCAGCAGCTTTCGGGCACCTTCCTGAGCTGTGGCAAGACAGCTGACTGCACGAGGGCCATGGCACTCGAAGATCTCAAGTCGTTTGTTGTTCTGGGAAATAAAGCCAAGATTACAGCTAAAAACAACTTAGCTGGAAAACTTCAAAACCAACTCACCAAAATCATTACAACTTGGTACAAACTCTCAATTCTGTCACCAGTACTCAAAATTTTCATACCCACTCTGCATCCTTAATTTCTCCACCTCTGCTATTTCCCACTCCAACCCTCTTTGCTGAATCTCCCCAATCTCCTGATCTGAGGAGGCCAAACTCTTACATTATTAACTCATTTATAACCTTCAACCTATACCACCCCAATCCCAATGAGAAACTGGTTCTCTTTTTAAGCTCTCTTTCACAACCTGGAAGTTAATGATAATGAAGAGCAAATCTTTTCTTTTTTTCCTTCAAATTCTGGTGCATTTTCCAGACCCAGGAACTATTTTTGTCATCCAAAAGCAGGCAATCTATGTGTCATGCTGTTTCCAAAAATCTCTATTTAGAATTACTTCCCTAGGCAATTTCAATAAGTCTAAAATTTTCCACTTTTTTTTTTTTTTTTTTGAGACAGAGTCTTGCTCTGTCAGCCAGGCTGGAGTGCAACGGTGCGACCTCGGCTCACTGTACCCTCCACCTCCTGGGTTCAAGTAATTCTCCTGCCTCAGGCTCTCTAATAGCTGGGATTACAGGCACCTGCCACCACACCTGGCTAATTTTTGCGTTTTTGTAGAGACAGGGTTTCACCATGTTGGCCAGGATGGTCTTGAACTTCTAATCTCAAGTGATCTACCTGCCTCAGCCTCCCAAAGTGCTGGGATTACAGGCATGAGCTACCACGCCTGGCCTAAATTCTCCACCTTCTTATTATGGTGTTCTTCTGGTACCTGGTTCTATGTTATCTCTCACGACATTATTTAGTAGACTATAGAAGTCTAATTATACCAGAGTGCCAGGGTCACATCCTGAATCCCAAAATATGTTTTTATCTCAGATTTTAGACTTCTTTCCTTCATCTCCCAACCAACCCTGTTAATTAAGCCTCCCACTTCCACAAAAGGTACTTTAGATACATGTCTGGAGTAAGGTTACTAGAAACTAAGCAGAAAGCTACAGCTGGGAGCCTACATTACTGGTAGGCTTCAATCATTTTGAAATGCTAGGGAGACAAACTGAATGGAAGTCAGGACCCAAAGGTGGACTGGCCTTGGTAAACAGTCCTGGCTTTCTGTTGCAACTCCAGAAGCTCTACGTTCTAAGAGTATGAGCAAACTAGGAAAAAGCCTAGCCCTGATCTTCAAAATTCACATCTATGCAGAGATTCTCAAATGTCTGTCTCTAGGACTATCTTCTCCGGCGCTTTTCAATCATTTAAAGAACTTTTCCAATGAATTTCTTGCCATCATCTCATCATTTGGCCTCTAGAGTCTTGCTCCTTACTTCTGTCTACTAATTTTTTTTTAATTAAAAAAAGAGACAGGGTCTCACTCTGTCACTCATGCTTGAGTATAGTGGCGTGATTATAGCTCACTGAAGCCTTGAAGCCCTGACCCCAAGCAATCCTCCCACCTCAGCTTCTTCGGTAGCTGGAACTACAAGTATGTGCCACCACACTTGGCTAAATTTTTTTTTTTTTAATTAAAAACCCTTTTTTTTTTTTTAGAAACAGGAATCTTGCTTTGTTGCCCAGGCTGGTTTTGAACTCCCGAGCTCAAGCAATCCTCCTACCTCAGCCTCCTAAGGTACTGGGATTATATGTACATGAGCCACCATAACCAGCCACTTCTGTCTACTTCTGATAATTCATCTCACAAAAGAGAAGATAATTAGGTAATTATCAAGTTTTAGCCTTTAAAATATTTTAAATTTACTTTCCTCTCCATTTCTCTTGCCCTAATCCAATTTAATCAGATTTAGAACCTGTCTGCATCTAGAATGCAAAAATCATCACTAATTACCCTTCTGTGATATATCATATCAAATAGACCAAATCACTTGACACTTGATTATACGCACGCTAGATTCTTCTAACTTGATTTTTAAGTTTCCTGTAGGCAGAAACCATAACATATTTTAATGCATACCTTATGTTCATTCCATCTAGTATGTAACCTATGAATGACACCATAATAGTATACATTCTAACATACGGTTAAGAGATAACCAGGGGATATGGTGCTACAACTAATTAGCAGTCAAACCTATCAATTCTACCTCTTAGGTTATATCTTTCCTCCATTCCGTTCTCTTTATCCTGTTTAACCTTTCATGTCAGCTTCCACTACAAAGCCTCCTAAATGGTCTCCCTGCCTTTGCTAATATCAGTATTTCCCAGTCTTATCAACTCCAGTGACTTTTTCTAAAATACAATGGATCATGTCTCTCTTACTTTAAAGCTAAAGTCTACAACTACCTTAGCAAAGCACAGAGGGCTATTAAAAACTAAATCTTATCCTGGGGCCTAGCATGTAACAGATTGACGTGCCTTGACATCCATAAAGGCTAGGTCAACAAATGAATTTATCTCTGGGTTAGGAAAGAATGAAGCCATAAGAACATTAAAGCAAACCTCTTAGTTCACCTCACAGAATGGGCCGCCCTCACAAAACCCTAAATCAGTTCCAAACTACATCAGTGTCATACTCAAATGAATTAAGTTCATTTTTCTTACTCTCTTTTTGTTAATATAGAATGCTTCATGAATTTGTCTGTCATCCTTGTGCAGGGACCATGCTAATCTTCTCTGTATCGTTCCAATTTTAGTGTATGTGCTGCTGAAGAGAGCACTTAAGTTCATTTTTCATGGTGTCATTCTTAAATTGAGACAGACTAGTTTAATCCATGACTCATTATTTGGCCCCAAATCTTCAGGCTTGGTTTAATTTAGTGGAGTTACATTTGGTCTTGGCAAATTTGAGTCAAAGCAGAGAGAACGGAGGATCATGTTTCACTTACATCAGAAGAGAAGAACTGTGTTTGAGTAGCGGCTAATTCTGCTGCTTCCTCACAGAAGAAAACAGGAAGATCCCTGCCTACTACTTCTTCCCACAAACTCACACTACTTTCAAGTAACTTGGGAAGTAAGCCTTTTCTCCCCCAAACACTAACCTTTATGTTGAAGGTGACCACAGTGCCATTTGCCAGTCCCGCATAGAGGATTCGCCATCTACTGTGGAGGCAGAGGACCCGGTCTTCCAGTTGTAACTGCTCAGCACACTCTCGGTTCTGATAAAAGCACACAACATTTGATCAGCAGAGGGTACTGGCCAATGAGATGTCAAAAACAATTCCTCCATAAAGCAGACTTTAAAATGATTCTTGGACGGAAGAAAATGTGGCATCCTCTACTTTGTAGGGGACTAGCTTAGATCTGTTTCTCCTTTGAAATATGGCGCCAAAGACTTCCAAGCTGTCAGTAATAAGAAAATAAACATAAATTCTAGTAATATTACCCATGTTTCTAACTTAGAATATACAAATTCTTCAAAGGGCACTATAGTTGGGTCTTAGTCCCTTAAGAAGCTAAATATAAAAGACAAAGCTGTGTTTTGACATCTAAAAAGGAAAATCAGGATTATAGTCACATATTTGATAAGTGCATTAATCAAATATGTAGTTTTCTGTAACTGATTCTATATTTCAATAGCTCTCAAATGCCTCCTTCAAACTGGTGCCTGGTTAGCTGGGTTAATTACTCAAGAAGCTGTTAAAATATACAGAACCTAAGCTCCAACCCCATCCCTGAGACTTATTCAGTAGGCTCTAGAATCTGTGTTTTAAAAAATTTCCCTAGTAATTCAGATGTACAGGCAGGTTTAATACCCACTGTTGGATCTGACCTTCAAGAAATGATTTCTACCAATTTCCTCCAATTAGATTATATTAGCAAATAAATCTCTTTACCTAGAACCAAGAATTGGGCAAGGACATAGTAAATTCAAAAAGTGTTGTTGAATGCTACTAAAGACCCAAGTGTAGCTTTTTAAGTGGGCTAGGGCAGATGTTAAAATCAAGATGGTTATAATTAAGTAGGATAGGACAAGCTATGGGAAGTATGAGAGAAGCTGTGGGTTGTGAAATCCTTTGATCTCCTCTCCCAACCTTCTTTCATACCTAAGAGTCAGTCACTTATTCAATTTCTCCCCCAAAAAAATTACGAACATAAATGCCATATATAAAATTGTAAAATACAGCAAAAGACAGTAAATATGTCTAACTATTATGATTCATGTTGCTTCTCGTTAATCCACATGAGCTCTCTTGTAACTATATAGGGGAAAATGAACATTACATAGTAATAAAAAAAGAACAAACTACTGGCACATGTACCAATATAGATGAGTTTTCAAACATTATGGTAAGCTAACGCTAGACATGAAAAAATACATGTGGCATAGTTACACTGATACAACAGCCAAGCACAGACAAAAGTAATCTATGAGGGTAGTAAAAATGGGGATTAGCTTTAGAAAAAGGTATGCCTAGGGAGGCATTTAAGGGAAGCTTCGGGGGTATGAAATGGTCTATTTTTTTTATCCTGGTGGTAGTTATACAAAATTTATCTATAGAAAAATTCATCAAGCTGTATACTTAAAATCTGTGTGCTTTACTGTATGAAGTTATGTCTCATTGTCAAAAAATGATTACAAAATCTTTTTCACTAGTGTACAGTCCTGCTATGCCAAACGCTACACATTAGAACCCTAAATACTGAAAAGGCTTTCAAAAATGTTTTTGCTAATATCATGAGTAAAAATGGTATTCCTTGTACTTCGGTTTTGATTTGCATTTATTTGCAAGATTCTATTATTTTCAGTTATTTGTATTTCATCTTTTTAAGAGACTTGTTTGTTTTTTGCCAATGTAGGTTTAGGGATTTATTTGTTTGTTTTTTGAAAGACAAGGTCTAGCTCTGTCTCCTGGCTGGACTGCAGTGATGTTATTACTGCCCACTGTAGCCTTGACCTCAAGGTTCACGGAATCCTCCCACCTCAGCCTCCCGAATATCTGGGACTACAGGTGTGGGCCACCACACATGCCTAGTTAAGTTTTAGGGGTTTTTTTGAGAGATGAGATCTCGCCATGTTGCCTAAGCTGATCTTAAACTCCTTGGCTCAAGCAATCCTTCCACTTCAGCCTCCTAAGGTGTTAGGATTACAGGTATGAACCATTGCACCTGGCTATAGAAATTTAAAGGTGTAAGCCTCTTCAACATATACCAAACCTGTGTTTGTCCTATCTTAAGTTACAGCTTTTTCCCGTTTTTATATGACCATTTCTTGCCAAAATATGCTTACAATTTTTTTTTAAAGTCTGTATAATTTTTTTACAGGTTTTTAAGAATTGCCCGGGCTAGTCTTGAACTCCTGGGCTCAAATGATTCTCCTACCTCAACCTCCCAAAGCACTGGGATTACAGGCATGAGCCACGATACCCAGCCTCTTTTTCTAGTTTCTTGGATTTTAAAGCTTTCTTCTTTTCTAACAGAAGCATTAACTACAAATTTCCCTTTCAGCAATAATAGGATGCATTTTCTTTTTCCTTTTTTCTTTCTGAGACAAGAGTCTTGTTCGCCCAAGCTGAAAGTGTAGTGGTGTGATCTTTGCTCACTGCAACTTCTGCCTTCCGGGTTCAAGCGATTCTTCTGCCTCACCCTCCCAAGCAGCTAGGAATACAGGCAAATGCCACTATGCCAAGCTAATTTTTGCATTTTTAGTAGAGATGGGGTTTCACCATGTTGGCCAGGATGGTCTCAATCTCTTGACCTTGTGACCCACCCGCCTCAGCCTCCCAAACAGCTGAGATTACAGGTATGACCCACCATGCCTGGCATATGCTACATTTTCATTTAGTTAGATATTTTCTAACTTCCCATGTGATTCCTTCTTTGAACCACAATAATTTAGAAGTATGCTATTTCATCTCCCTATATTTGGGGATTTCCTAGATTTCTGTTACTGCTTTCTAATAAATGTCACTGTGATTAGAGAACACACTTCGTATAATTTTGGTCATTTTAAATGGATTGAGACTTATTTAATAGCCCAGCATGTAGTCCTGGTGAATGTTCTATATGCACATTCTTGAAAAAACTGTGTATTCTGCCATTTTGAGAGGAATGTTCTATAAATGTTAGTTTAATTAGATTGTGTTCACTAATGGTGTTGTACAGTTCTTTTTTTTTTTTTTTTTTTAATTTTTTATTAGATTTTAGGTTTTGGGGTACATGAGCAGAGCATGCAAGACAGTTGCGTAGGAACACACATGGCAGTGTGCTTTTCTTTCCTTCTCCCGTTCACCCACATTTGGCATTTCTCCCCAGGCTATCCCTCCCCACCTCCCCCTCCCACTGGCCCTCCCCTTTTCCCCCCAATAGACCCCAGTGTTTAGTACTCCCCTTTCTGTGTCCATGTGTTCTCATTTTTCATCACCCGCCTATGAGTGAGAATATGCGGTGTTTCATTTTCTGTTCTTGTGTCAGTTTGCTGAGGATGACGTTCTCCAGATTCATCCATGTCCCTACAAACGACACGAACTCATCATTTCTGATTGCTGCATAATATTCCATGGTGTATATGTGCCATATTTTCCCAATCCAGTCTATTATCAATGGGCATTTGGGTTGATTCCAGGTCTTTGCTATTGTAAACAGTGCTGCAATGAACATTCGTGTACATGTGTCCTTACAGTAGAACGATTTATAGTCTTTCGGATATATACCCAGTAATGGGATTGCTGGGTCAAATGGAATTTCTATTTCTAAGGCCTTGAGGAATCGCCACACTGTCTTCCACAGGGGTTGAACTAATTTACACTCCCACCAACAGTGTAAAAGTGTTCCTTTTTCTCCACATCCTCTCCAGCATCTGTTGTCTCCAAATTTTTTAATGATCGCCATTCTAACTGGCGTGAGATGGTATCTCAATGTGGTTTTGATTTGCATCTCTCTGATGACCAGTGACAATGAGCATTTTTTCATATGATTGTTGGCCTCATATATGTCTTCTTTCGTAAAGTGTCTGTTCATATCCTTTGCCCACTTTTGAATGGGCTTGTTTTTTTCCTGTAAATCTGTTTGAGTTCTTTGTAAATTCTGGATATCAGCCCTTTGTCAGATGGGTAAACTGCAAAAATGTTTTCCCATTCTGTTGGTTGCCGATCCACTCTAGTGACTGTTTCTTTTGCCGTGCAGAAGCTGTGGAGTTTGATTAGGTCCCATTTGTCTATTTTGGCTTTTGTTACCAATGCCTTTTGTGTTTTGTTCATGAAGTCCTTGCCTACTCCTATGTCCTGGATAGTTTTGCCTAGATTTTCTTCTAGGGTTTTTATGGTGCCAGGTCTTATGTTTAAGTCTTTAATCCATCTGGAGTTAATTTTAGTGTAAGGTGTCAGGAAGGGGTCCAGTTTCTGCTTTCTGCACATGGCTAGCCAGTTTTCCCAACACCCTTTGTTAAACAGGGAATCCTTTCCCCCTTGCTTGTTTTTGTCAGGTTTATCAAAGATTGTATAGTTGTATGTATGTTGTGTTGCCTCCGGTGCCTCTGTTTTGTCCCATTGGTCTATATCTCTGTTTTGGTACCAGTACAATGCTGTTTTGATTACTGTAGCCTTGTAGTATAGTTTGAAATCCGGTAGTGTGATGCCCCCCGCTGTGTTCTTTTTGCTTAGAATTGACTTGGCTATGCGGGCTCTCTTTTGGTTCCATATGAAGTTCATGGTGGTTTTTTCCAGTTCTGTGAAGAAAGTCAATGGTAGCTTGATGGGGATAGCATTGATTCTGTAAATTACTTTGGGCAGTATAGCCATTTTCACGATGTTAATTCTTCCTGACCATCAACATGGAATGTTTCTCCATCTGTTTGTGTCCTCTCTGATTTCGTTGAGCAGTGGTTTGTAGTTCTCCTTGAAGAGGTCCTTTACGTTCCTTGTGAGTTGTATTCCAAGGTATTTTATTCTTTTTGTAGCAATTGTGAATGGCAGTTCGTTCTTGATTTGGCTTTCTTTAAGTCTGTTATTGGTGTAGACGAATGCTTGTGATTTTTGCACATTGATTTTATATCCTGAGACTTTGCTGAAGTTGCTTATCAGTTTCAGGAGTTTTGGGGCTGAGGTGATCGGGTCTTCTAGATATACTATCATGTCGTCTGCAAATAGAGACAATTTGGCTTCCACCTTTCCTATTTGAATACCCTTTATTTCTTTTTCTTGCCTGATTGCTCTAGCTA